ATTTGAGATTTTCTCAAGGGCTCTCCGATAGGCTAGTCCCCAAGGGTTTTTGCATTGGTCTAGGTATCGGTGCCATGTCTCTTTCTTTGCTTTTCCTATTGCCTTTTGTAAACTCTTATTAAGTTCGTAATATGCTTTTTTGAAATTCCTTTTGGTAACAGCATCGTTTTCTCGCTGAAAGCGGCGTCTTGCTCTGTAGGTCTCCCGCTTCAGGCTTGTGAGTTGTGTGTTCCACCATACTTATATTATATATATTGTGTGTTCCCTTTCTTGTTGACTCTCGTGTTATGGGCAACACCTCCTTAACCGCTGTGAAAATTTCTGTTGAGATTTTCACTGCCTCTTTTTCTAATTCCATATGATGGTGTTGATCCAGCTCTGTTAGGTGCCATGCAATATTCTCAGCAACACGTTCCCACTCAGCACCCTCCGTCACAAAACGTTCCTTATGGTATCGCTTTTCTTGATTGTTTAGGTTTTATTTCAAATAAAACTACCCTGTGATCACTGCAGGTACAATCCTCGACTTTCCAAAAGCTAATAAGCTGGCCAATGCCAGGTGATGCCAGAGTTCTATCGATAAATGATTCTCCGCTGGATCCCGAAAACGTTGGCAAGGCCATGGGATCATTTATAATGGTTAGGCCATTCCTTGCAGCAAAATCCTCTAGCAGTACGCCTTTTCTATCGGTTCTTCGGCTGCCCCACAAAATTGAGTGAGCATTAAAATCGTCCATTATTAAGATGTTCTTACTCTGCTTCCGTACTACCAGCTGCAAATTTGTCAGTATGTCTTCCAGTGGGAGTGCGAATTTTGCATAAACATTGATCAAGTCAAAGTTCCACTGCCATGGATAGATCAAAAGTTGTCACATTAATTGTAAGTGGATAATGTTGGGATTTCACAAAGCGAAAATTCATCAAATTATTCACTAATATTATAATTCAATTTTCGACAAATAAAAATATTTCATAGATGTATAAAGCATGTGTTTATAACCTTAAATAGATTTACTGTAGTTTAGTAATCCTAAGTCTGATATTATATTTAAATAATTAGATATAAACGTCCGTTTATTCCGAAAAATCCTCATGTGACCTTTTAGAAAATTAAATTAGTGACAAATTTGATCGATTTTCCCTTCGTTAAATCCAAACATTATCCACTTAAAATTGATGTGTGAACTTTTGACTTATCTATGGCAGGCAATGAAAATCTCGTAATTTCATTTCAGTATAGGGATAAAATTAATATAAATGTATTAGCGAGGTTTTTATTGCCTACTATCTATCTATAATTAATAGGGCTTTTGTTATTTTAATGGTCTTAATGATTTCTTAGCTGTAAACTTTAAGCTATAGCTCCGTTAATAATGCACTTCAAAAATTTAATAATTCCACAACATTGTCAGAAAATAATTTCTATTCAAAGTGGAGATTTGTTTGTAGTGCGCACCAGATTTTCGTTCCTTTATTTACCTTCAATTATTTTTCTTGTTGTACGTATATATTTATATACATATACGTATATATACTTGTATATATCGTACGAGTGGATACTTTTAGCTCTAATGCTCATTGCCCTTGAGTGTGGCAGATTGTGTTAATATTTGATAAATATATAAATAAAAAACAACAAAAAAAAAACCACAAAAAACAATGAGAATTAATTAAAGGACAATAGCAAGGAACCTTGACCGTTTCCTCCACCATTTAAGGAAATATAAAATGTTTTTAACTTTAGGATTCCCCCAGCCTGCTTAGTCCATCTATTGGTGATACGACGTTGTCTATTTTTAATCGCCGGAAAATCATTTGGAATACAGTGAGTAATAGGTTTAATTGTTGTTAAATGCTTAAAGAGAAATATTGCAATGGTTTCTATATCACAGAAACTACATACATAGCCTTATATATAAACTATAACATTAATGTGGAATTTGTATTCTGATTGAGAATTAATAGCTTCTTTAATAACGAATACATAATAGATTAATAGCTTCTTCAATAATACATAAACGTTTATATTACATATAACGTATATATTCCGTATTTCTTTATATATTCTAGTTCTGTTACAAATATAGTTAAACTAGTCGAATCAAAAGCATTGAAACCATAAAAAGCGCTTAAGTTGAGCGCGGCAGATATTACGAGTGAAACATGCCTTTGATTCCATGCGCTTTAACATACGCTTAGCCCTCTCACATATTAACGTGGCTACACGAGATACATGAAAAATTTAGTGCTTTTTAAAATCGATTATAAGAAATTTCTTCAAGAGATGCATAAATTATGAGTTTGGGAAGAAAAACTGACAAAACCAGATATTTCTTGTGAAATAAGCATCCTACATCCTCACCCTACATAAAAAATTAGTGTATAAAATTTAAAGTAAATTATCTCCTTTAACTTTGTGCAACTATCAATTATGATAAAATGCATATTTTTGGAGCCATGTCTATAAAAATAAAGAAAAATTCTGAAATTCCGCTGTTTTGTGCATATATCTCGGAACGCAATGAAAATTTCCTTCAGGAACATCAAATTCAGATTCATCATACCATTAGCTGATCCAGGATTTATTTTTTTTGGGGGGGGGGGAGGAGGGCGGCTTCAGCCCGAAAGCTTTTTTTTCATATATATAACGATAATTAATTTGAATAAAAAAGGAAAAAAATAACTACCTGTATGAAATAGTGTTTAAGTGATTCTTGGATTTCTATTAAATGTAATTGCACGAACAATAATACTTTAGAGATAGTTTTTAATATTTTTTCTATAAAACACGATTATATTTTACCATTGTTGGAGGGTGGTGAGGAAAAGAGGGCTTCAGCCCGAAGCCTCCCCTGTAGATTCGCCTGAGTCTCGGCTCACGGTGGAAAAATTATTTATTCTGTTTCATTTGCCGGGACACACGCAGCCTCTATTAAATGGAAACCCTTAATTAAATAATTAATTAAGGATGAAAAACTAGCGGTTGAGTGTGATCTCTGTCAAATCCCCTCCTTGCACATTCACTGACGAAGAAAGAGTGCTTTCCCAAAATAGTACTGAACCCAAGACTTGTACTTATATCATAATATAAATTATAACACATCGGTTCAGCCCCTTTTACTCCTCTATTATTCAACCGATTTTCTTCATTCTTTTTTTATTTAATAGATATTGACGAGCTTTAGTGTTATCAATAAATAAAAATATTAAATAGTATGTGAATAAAAATACAAATCGTAGTTTGTTCAAAACGGCTTATCTCCGAAAATTCTTCACCGATTTTTTTTTTTAATTTTGAACCTCGCAATAATATATAGAAGTTTTTTTCCTTTCGAAATAGCGGCCGAAAAACATGATTCGCTTTAGACTGTAGCGTCAATACGGCTTCAACGATTTCAATGAAACTTGGCTAAAGTCTTCCCCTTGAAACCTTTATAATTTATGTAAATAATATACTTTCCCGAAAACAAGCTGCATACATTTTTATGATGAATTCAGTATTTTATTTGCGAATAACTCAAAAAGTACACATTTTTTTATTGATAAAACCAGTATTTATTCGAAAACTTCCTGAATTCCCTACAAAATGAAAAAAAAAATCATCGAAATCGGACTATTTGTTGCAGAAATTTATCATTTTAAACATTTAGTACGTTTTCTTTCCCTTCCAAGTTCGAACACTTATATATATATATATATATATATATATATATATATATATATATATATATATATATATATATATATATATATATATATTCCGAGTATATTTCAAACAAAAGCTATAATTTAAGCTCGCTTAGGTAAATATTTCATAAGGTGAATCGCCATCAAATACGTAAAGCATATTTTTTTGTTTTATGACTTACAAGACCCGGATTATTCTCAAATATGCAAAATAAAATTACATCACAGTATATAGTATACGCAGGCTGTGCTTATATAATCTTATCTGGCTTATTTTTTAGTTTGTTTTATATGTTGTATTGTTCATCGTTTATTTCAGTTTTTTTTCTCTACGGCGAACTATTGATAATGCCATGGAGGGGAAGAATTATTTTTTTCTTAAAACAGCTAAATCTGAATACTTTAAGAGATTTTCTATCTCAGTCTCCTAAGCTCTATTCTAATTTCCCTAAAATAGCACACCACAAGAAATTAAAACGTGGGGGCAGTGAAACGTTTGCGCATGGAGCACCGAAAATATTAGCACAGACAGACAGACAGACCAATGGCTAAAAATGTGTTTTTCGGACTCAGGGGGCAGTGAAACGTATAGATCCGTCAAAAACCGCATGTCGGTAATTTGACCCGATTGCAATTCTTTCCTTACCTAGTATAGGTAAGAAAGTAATAAAATAAGTTTTAAAAAATAGAATAAGCTGTATCATCATTAATACTAGTTCGATTCCGATGATTTTTTTTTTGTTTTGTTGGTAATTTAATTACTTTTCAAAAGATTTACTATAACTTCCACCGTATAATATATACTTAGGGAGTTAGGCTCTATAACATTTTTCTTTTCTTTATAACTTTTTTTCCTGAATTTTTTCGGGAATTTAGTCTATATACGAAAATTGAAAGGACAATGATTAGAACATTATAGGAAAGTTTAATCAAAATCGTTAGAGCCGTTTTTGCGCTACAGTCTATAGAAAGACGTGTTTTTCATTTATTGCGCGCAAGCTATTGCGCATGGAGCACCGAAAATCTTGGCACAGACAGACAGACCAATGCTAAAAATGTGTGTTTCTGACTCAGAGGGCAGTGAAACGTATAGATCCGTCAAAAACCGCATGTCGGAAATTTGACCCGATTGCAATACTTTCCTTACCTAGTATAGCTAGGAAAGTAAAAAGGCTGTTCCAAGTAGGACTAAAAAGATTATTATGTTTATTTTTTTATTTATTCAGAAATATTACATTCTATCACAATTAAGGATATTTATAATAGTGTTATTAGAACACTATTGTTCTGTTTAGTGAAACATAATAAGTGAAGCATTATAGCTGAATATTATTCTAATAGTTGTAATTTTAATTATTTAAAATGGATTCAAGTGTTTTATTTATTCCAGATAATGAAGCCAGTATTTATACTACTTCTATTCTGGATACCATATTCAACTGAAGGCAATGAAAATTCGTACCAGGCTTATTACAACGAAGATTTTTATTCCTTCGTTGTAGGTGCTCACGCCAGTCAGCACAACAGTGTGTTACAAGAATTATTCAGTAATTTGATGACATATAATTCCACCGACAGCTGCGTCCGAGATTTGAAGAACTATCAGCACTCCCTCAATAGTCATGAGAAGTGGGCTATATCATGTAAAGTTTATCTTTATTATCAATAAATTGCTTCAATGAATAATATTAAAGTCAAGACAACATCAAATAATCTTTTAAAGTATTTAGTATAATTTCTTTATTTCGCAAAAAAAAAAAGATATCGTAACGATCCCCTTATTATTACATATGGCAGTATTACTTCCCATTTAACTATTTTGTAGTTACTTTCTTGTTCCAAACTTGATTTTTATACAAAATGTAATAACAATTTTTACTTTCACTTACCTATATACATGTATAACATATAGTACGAGTATTGCTTTCACTTAGATACATAAGTAATATATAGTAAGGGTAAGTATTGTGGTAGTGAAAATTTTCGAATCTGAGTTTTCAACGGAAATACACGTTTTGAGATCCCCTGAGTCCAAATATCGAAGTCCTAAAAAATGTACGGTGTGTGTGTGTGTGTGTGTGAGTGTGTGCGCGCGCGCGCGTGCGTGAGTGTGTGTGAGAGTGTGTGTGTGTAAGTGAACAGCCTAGCTCAAAAACGAAACTGAAATTGCGTATTTAAGGTTAAATGCCCAGTGTTAAAAATGTTTTCCTCTAAAGTACTTTGGATTGGTTTAATTTAAGTAATTAGCCATCTCTCATTACTAGGAGTCATATAAAAAGACTAAGTATAACTTTTGAAAGAATTAGATAATTGAATTGAATATTGAAATAATTATCCTGGTCAAAAATAAATATCCGGAAATAACAATCAGAAGGTATAAGTATAATATATCTGGTATAGTGTACGCATACCTTCTGCCTGTATAATATATAGTATATCGTTAGAGAGCGGAGGATTTAAAAAAAAAAATAATATCTAATAAATAAAGCTATATGAGGTACCGGAGACTGATGAAAAAAAAAATCTGAAAACTAACAAAATTTAACGAAAACCACAAGTTTTCAAGGGTATTAAATAAAATTTTCTTACTAAGTGTAAGGTCCTATTTTTTTTTAAATTGAAAAAATCAATATAAATCCACCGAATCAAGGCATTCACATTGTTTAAAATACTATTTTATTCTACTTGTGTGGAAGAAGAACTGAAACATAAAAATATTTCATGGATATAAAGCATGTGTTTATAATCTTAAATACACTTACTGTAGTTTAATAACTCTATATGTGATATTATATATATAAATAATTATTCCCGAAAAAAATCATCATGTAAACTTTTAGAAAATTAAATTAATGAATAATTTAATTAAATATCCCAACAGGTCGAAGAGGATATTAAGGTTAGATTGAAGGCGGGAAATGCTTGTTATTTTTCTTTGACAAAACTACTTAGCTCTCCCCTCCTGTCCCGGAACTTAAAAATTAGAATTTAGAAAATCATAATCCTTCCTATGGGTCTTTACAGCGATACCTGGCCGTTTTCATTAACGGATGAGCAATGTCTTAAGATTTTTGAAAATAAAGTATTACGCGGAATATTCGAACCGAAAAATGACGAGTCAAACGGAGAATTTAGATGGTTACACAATGCTGAATTGCGTGAACTGCATCCAGTTAATATAACTGATATGATTAAGTTGAGGCAAATAAAATAGCCATGTAAACTAGCTGGGCTTAGTAATGATAGAATTCCTAATAAGTTAATATGCGCTGTACCGACTGGCCAGCATCCTAGGGGTAAACCAAAGCGAAGGTGGGAAGATTGCGTTAAGGCTGATCTGGCAGGGTTGGGTTTAGACAGAGCCCGGTGGATGGAAGAATGTGGACATCGATTGGTGGTATCGGCATCGAACGTTTGGGTGCGCTAAGCCTTATTATTATTATTTATTATTAATCATCAATGGTATTGATGAATGGTATCGGTTAAAAATGCACTTCAAAAATTTTTTAATAGCCCAGCATTGCCAGAAAATAATTTCTGTTCAAAGTAGAGTGGTAAGTGAAATTTTTGTGTTGCACCAGATTTTTTATTACAAAACTTTTTTTTTAATATTAAATGATTAGAAAATAAGAACAGAACAAATTTGAAACAAGAAGCGTTTTAATGTCTAACAACAAAACAAACTTTACAAAGAACACTTTTTTTTTTAATGCTAAACCCATGGCGATTAAAGCAATAAGGAATTCATTTTCACAAAAAAAAAAAAGATTACCTCTTTGGAAAACCTCCTTTCTTAGTGGAAGCAAGATGTAAGCAATTGATGTAGTATTGATTCAATATAATTGACCCGTGTGAGGAACCCCTTCAATATCTTGCTTTAAATTATATTGCTTCAATAATATTGACAGCATAAGGGGCCTTTATAGCAGCAGCTGGTGTTAACTGTTTTCGATTCACACACACATATATGAACCTAACGCTCCACCCATTTAAGAATAGAAAGCGCTGAAACGGGATTCCCAATTATTATTTAAAAACGTCTTCTCAAATAATAGCAATTGCTTGCTTAAAAGTAAATGAGCGTAGTAAATAGCCTGGAAAAATAAATGCATCTTTGTTATTTTGCATTGAAAACCTGTGAACCCGAAAGCTGGAGGATGAAAACATAACTTTATGTTGGTAAGAAATATCTACAGTTTTGCTTACATAAGTAAGAAGGTGAGTTCATATTCTTTTACATAGCTGTGATTTTCTGATTACTTGGATTATGAAGATAATAGTTTTGATTATTCTAAGGAATTTCCTTTCAGTATTAGACTCTTCAGGGATTCCCGCCACTGGCCTTTTATCAGGAAACACAATAAGTTTGGGAAATTACAAGCAATGTCTTTCCACATCTCCGAGAAATTTCAGCAGTTCTTATTGCTTAGTGGATCTTAACATATCAAAGAAACCAATCATTTATTGGGCGCCACACAACGTGCCGATAGTGTTCACATTATGCCTCCCAGGAACGTGTGACAACAAACAACTAGAAAGACTGCTGGAGCCCACGGGTTCAGTGAACAACGCGACGGTCACAGTTGAATGCCAATCGACCAGGCCGACATTTACTTTTGCAGATATTTTCGTCATGTGAGTACATAGCTTAATAGTACCTACGATACTAATGATAGTAATGAAATATCCAATAATAAAAATATATTAATATTTATTGCTCTGAAACTAATATAGATTGGGTTCTCTGAATAAATCTATATATTGTATAAAGGCTGCTCTACAATATAAAGGTACTGGACCAGATGGTGGTGTCTATTACCGTGTGTAAGGTTTTGGGTACAAATTATTCCACCATGTTGGAAAGACATGCTACATCAGCGCTCATTGCGTACTAGAGACGCACTATGGTGTGTGTGCCGCCATTCCCGTTGTCATTGTTCGTGTTAGCTGCGTCTAGTCTCATGCCTTTATTGTAGGACGCGTGAGTATGTTTCAAATAGAACTTATAAAGGCCGTTTTATCCTGCCATAGCTTTGTAATAGTTTATTGTAGTTTGCTTAGCCTCAATCCGAAATTATAACAAATACGTAATTCTAATTACTTTTCTCATTGATAGTTATGGAGAAATGCGGAACGGAAAAATATGTTTATTATACAATAAAATACGTACAGAATAATAATTTGATGCATGTAACTTTTTGATCGCTACAAAAATGTGTAATGTCTTAATTATGTTAAGAATCCTATTATCAGATCGGGTCTTACAAGTTATATTCTTATAAATATTTTTACTAATTCTTATCGGCTATTTCAGTAGGCTTTTTCTACTTTCGGTTGTCATAGAGTAACCTGCTCAGTGATATTGAAATCAACATTTTGGAGTAACCAAACGAAAGCATAAAGTATAAATGCCTCCCTAGATTGTGAACTGGAAGCAAAAACATAAACTTTTTTTATTTTTTTTTTAAATCTTTTTATTGAGAAATAATACATTTTGCCATATTTAAGGGTACTGAGTACTAAAGCTGAGTGAGGCCCATTCATACTATGTGTACAATGCAATAAAAAAAGAATAAAATAAAAATAAATAAATAAAAAATAAAAATATTTATCTATATAACAAAGGTAAAAACTATAAAACTAAAGAAATGTAACTTGAAATCAAATTAAAAAAAAATAATAATAAAAAATACAGAAATTGGTAGCAAATTAAATAAGTCATAAGTAAAACAAATAAATATATAATAAAGAAAAACATTCATACTTAATATATAAAAAAGAAAAGCATTCATACATTATTTACATTATTTACAATCAGCCAAGCGAGCTCCGAGTCCAGCCCTTTCCTCCACGTGTGAAGGACAAAGCGAGACTCTAAGAGATCCCAGCGCTTCTCTCTCAGCCGCGTCACCGGCAGGAAAAAACATAAACTAAAGAAATACCTTGTTCATTTGTTGAGCCGCGCTAGCATATAAATGTGAATAAAATATCACAAGTAAACACCACAACCGGGGTTTTTCCGCTTGATTCAGGTTTTCCTCATTTTAAAAGATAAGGTTACTATCGGGGCACACTTTTTTTTAATTGGAAAACCCCCTACCCACTATTTCTGGTGTACGGTGAGGTTGTTCTAGAGGTACAACCAAACCTACGTACGGGGGGTTGTTCTAGAGGTACAACCAAACCTACGTACGGGGGATTGTTCTAGAGGTACAACCAAACCTATTCTAACCGGAGTGGAAGGGTCGAGTTAAATCCCGTGGGTCCGCCACGAAATAAAAGTCAACCACTCCCAGGCCGGATTCAAACCGGCGCCCCTAGGTTGGAGGATGGCTCCAACACACTCGGCCATCGCGACCTCAATCTGGGCACACCCAATAGTAAAATATGTTGGCTACGATTTCGACTGTGCAAGAGAAATCTACCGTGTGCAAGGCCTTACGATCAGAGAACCCACCAGGAAACAAAATTCCTTTAACCGATTTTTAGCCATTTGTGCAATTTTTTTTTTTTTTTTGGTCCGGCAGTATAAACTACAGTTATTCATTCCATAATAACAAGTTCAATAAAACATAAATAATATTGAGAAATGTTGGTAATTTGTTGTTATATTATCAGTATGAATTTAATAGTTCGTTTGCCTTCCAGGTTTCTTTTCATTTTAATATGGATAGTGATCATTTCTACTACTATCCCTAAAAAATGGATTCGTCCCAATAATAAAGGTAAGATTATTAACTATTTATGTTACTTAATTAATAATAACGGTAGGATCATTAAATCTTTGTGTTACTTACAAGTAAACATAACATAACATAAAATATGGTGTACATATTTTTTTTACATTATTTCTTTTTTTCGATTGATTTTATTTTGGCCAGATGTGATCTGTTAATTTTGTTCTATTTTGTTATTCTCAAGGGACTGTGTCCCAGAATAAAATTATTTTTCTATCTATCTACATACAGTAGAGGATATTTGATGCTTCTGTTACCTTCCCCTAATGGCCACAAGCCTGTTCTAATTTGGCATACATTTTACGATATTCTCCTCATCTCTTCTTGTTTTATTTTTCGAGAATGTCCTTATGTGTTTTCAACTCCTTCAGCAAATATTTGTGGTGAAAGAAATCTCAAATCGCACTGTAAATAATTGTAATTTGAAATAAAAAATTAATGTATTAATAATTAATCCTTGAATTATAGAGAAGATTATAAAGTTAGTGCATATGTTTCTGACGATGGGAAATCATTGACCGAAACGTTAAAAAAATATAGTGATGTATGCCAAATATACAAGTCACAAGGAAGTTGCAATTACCAACTTTGCCTGAATAACAAAAGTAACCCAACAAAAACAAATGGAAAACAATGATGCGATGAGTTGACTCAAACAATGATGCGATGAGTTGACTCAAACAATGATGCGATGAGTTGACTCAAACAATGATGCGATGAGTTGACTCAAACAATGATGCGATGAGTTGATTCAAACAATGATGCGATGAGTTGACTCAAAACGATTGGCAAATGTTGAATTATCATTTTCCGGAGAACCCAATAATAACTACCGTTATATAAAAAGTAACGTTTTTTCCACAGTTTTGGATGAGATACGGAACAGCTTCAGCCTTCGAAGGAACCTGTCCAGCTTGCTGAGGGCGGACACCAGGTCGAGCCACCTGGCGAGCCTCTACGGGCTTCGTGCTCTGAGCCAATGCGTCGTTGTCTGGTGCCACGTTGTGCTCGGAGGGTTCGTTCCTAAATATCCAGCTTTAAACAAATTCTCTTATTACGAGGTAAGTATGTATTTGTTGACTTGTAGGTTTATTAATCGCTATAATTCTACTTCGGTTTAGAATACAATTATCAAGTGATACAGTTGCTATATTTATTCGCACTATGTAGTGCGATCCTCACTCAGGTGCGCCTTTACAATTGCTGCCTTCACTTTTATGAGTGAGCCCAAGATCTGATGATCACACGAAAGATGGAATTTGGATAATGATCTAGTATTGTCAAGGCTTTCACGGTATAACCTCCCTTTATTTGGATCGCTATTTATGACTTCCACAAAATGTCAAGACTAGTCCTTCACAGTGAATATCGAGGCTTTAATCAGCTTTAATTACATCGCTGCTGTCGACTTCAGCTCGCTCAAAACGGATGTTAAAACCCTCAATGTTGAACCTTTTGCAATTGAATTCGGGGCCCATCAGACAGTTCGGTCATCTCGGTCTACTTCCGGCATTTTCGAGATTCAGTTATAGCGTGATGTTGAGATCTCCAGCCCGTTCATCAAAGCCGAGCAACGCTTGTAAGTTACTTACTGTAAATTACTTACTATAGATTAACGAGCTCTCTGTATGTAGTGCTCCGAGGCAGGAGTTGAGTGTTTTAAGTAGACTGATGGTGTTACGACGTTTCCACTGTCTTCCTTTGACATAAAAAATATGATTTGGACATGGCCACTTAGATAGTCTTAATGAGGTTTGCGTTGATTTATCTGTGTGCCTGAGATAACGGACACCATGTCCATTTTTTTATGAAATAATTTAGAAACTAAGAAACAAATTTTAATAGCTCAAAGTTATGGATAATTGACTCTTTGAGCAATTATAAAAATATGACCAGGTGAACTTAATATGAGCATTTTTTTTAAAGCTTGTAAAATTGATATTAACTTATTTGTCTAAAAAGTTTGAAAGTTTGATTATACGGTTTCCAGTTTTGATTTTTTTTTTTTTAAGAAAGGAGAGTAGGCGAAGGTGAGAAGAAGATAGTATTTTTTTCTTTGATTTTTAAAAACACTAAGACATTGTATGAATATTTAATAAGACAAGATTATTTAAATGAACTTACAATTTATAAAATATACATAAAATCGGTCATACTTTGGTACAATATTTCACCCTAAAGGCAGTCTTAAAATTATAAACTTTAGTAACATTTTGATATTTGACAGTACGAAGACATATAAAAAATCTACATAAAAAAAAAAATAAACGCTGCAAATTATTTCACAATGGTTTATTATTCCCAAACAATTATACGTCTAAAGTAATATTAGATTCCTAGTTACAAAGTTGTCCGTTACCTTGGCTTCCTTCTTGACAAAAGACTAACTTGGAACCCACATACCAGACTTAAAAGACAAGAACTTAACCGACGGATACAAAAGGATCTTTCGATTGAAAATAAACTTTTAATCTACAAAACCATACTGGAACCTATCTGGACCTACGGACTTGAACTGTGGGGAACTGCTAAACATTCGAATATCAAACGCATCCAATCCTTCCAGTCCAAAGTACTCAGAACAATAGTCAATGCCCCATATTATGTCACAAACATTACCCTACACCATGACCTTAACATCCCATTTGTCCTCGACATCATCCCCATCATCATCCAGATTCTCAAACTTTCACCAGAACCTTGTCCATCATCCAAATCCTCTAGCTCAATCCCTATCCAGCTCCCACCATCCCTACAATCCTCCACGAAGGTTAAAACGGCAGTGGCCCAAAGATCTCTTGTAAATATGCTTCTGGAGTCCTGGCAATGGCCAGTATCTTCACTGATGTCCTGAGCGTCTGTGGCTCTAGTGCCCTCTTTCAGTCTCCACTGGCTTCTAATACTAGTGATGCGGCTGGAAAAGTGGCACTGGGATCTCCTGGAGTCTTGCTTTGCCTTCCACATGTGGGGAAAAAAGCCTGGCTCGGAGATTCCTGGGCGAATGTATATATTCTATATAAGAATGATTGTGTTTAGAAGTTTTATGTTATTTGTTTACTTATTTTTTTTTCTTTTATTTACTTTATTCATCAGTATTATTTATTTACTTTTTATATTTATATTTATTTTTCTATTATGTGTATATATTGTATGAATGAGAACTCCCTAATACTTATAGCCCTCCAGCAGTGGCTGATTGTATTATTATTCAATAAATAGATTAAAAAAAAAAATGTTACAAAGAAAATAAATAAAAGGTGATTCCAATTATTGGAATACACTTTTTTTTTAATCATTAGTCATTTATATTTTACTTCTTCTTTCACACAAGCACAAGGAATAGTTTTTTTAACATTGTCATTGCCTTGATTAGGTGGATTTTAAATTACTTTTTTTCAAACTTTTAAAGTTTCAAAACTACTTTAAAAGTTTACATTTAGTAAGTAAATTCCATTTAATTTCGTTGAAAAGATGTGATCCAGGTTAAACAATATTAGGTTTCAAAAATTATTATTTATAATTTTGTTGACGCTTTCCGTTACCTTCTACAACTTTCTATATTCGATATTGTTTTTACTTTCCTACCTATACTAGGTAAAGAAAGTATTGCAATCGGGTCAAATTTCCGACATGCGGTTTTCGACGGATCTATACGTTTCAGAGCACCCTGAGTCCCCCACCTGAGAGTCACTGAATCCCCCTTAAAGAACTACTGAAGCCGTTAACACGTCGTTTGGAAGGTAATGCAATTGCCTACAAAGCGATATAAAAATCGGTCATCTTGGACAACTATTAACGATGTTACGGCTATCCAATTTCCAATGTAAGATTACGGGTTCATATCCTGGTGTCAGAAAGGGGTGAATGAGAAAATAAATATGACTAAGTGAATGTAAGAAAATCTGTTGCCCGCATCACACAATCTTCACTATTTCCTCTACATTTAACAGAAATTAATTACCTTAAGCCGGTTTACATTGCTTTAGTTTATCAAATAAATCGTATTCAAATCTTATGTTAGATCAATTTTCAGGAAAATTTATCTAGTTCAATTCTTTTTTGTTTCTTCATGAACATAAGTAAAGATATAAGAACTTTTCTGAAATAGGTAGGAAAGGTACTTTAGAGGAAGACACATATGAACATTGGGCATTTAAGGCGTGTAAAGTGACATCAATCGGGATAAGACCTAATTAATATTAAAGACCACTTAATTATACAATCTTACACCGAGTTTAATCAAAATCGTAAAAGCCATTTTTTAGAAAATTATAAAAATGTGTTTCAGCGTTCATATAAAATGGCACTTCCGGTTAGTCGATTTTAATGAAAAAGTTGCTGTCACATCCGGCCCATATACAAATCTTAAATACATAATATCAGTTTCGTACTGCTTTTCGTTTATGAGCTAGACTGTTAACACACACAGACACAGACACAGACCATTTTGCGACACTTGGTTATTTCGACTCAGGGGACCTCAAAACACGCATTTCCGTTGTTAATTGAGATTCGGAAATTTTCAAAATAGCAAGACTTACAATTACTATATATTTCATATATACGTAAGTGAAAGTAACTAGAGACCATATCTTTGCTCCTACTTATCCGATTTTAGCGATTTTTTAAAGGAAATTCCGTAAAATTTTTAAAAAACATATACAATATCAACAAAAAACTATAAACTTTTCGAGTTATTCTGAATTTAATTTTACCATCCCTCTTTAATTTTTTTCAGCTTCTTTTCGTTGAAGAATGTTATATAGATAAATTTAAAGGGCGCCGAGAAAATGAGTTTTGCGAAGTTTCATTGTAATCGGTAGATTCGTTTAGAAGCTACAGTCTATAGCAACGCAGGTTTTTCGGCCGTCATTTTGAAAGTAAAAGGCGGATAGTAATGTCGATGAAGGAGCATCATTCTCGGGTGACTTTATATCCGAAATATACGGAAATTTTATATCCGAATTTGAAATAATTCGGTCCAGTAGTTTCCGAGAAAATGACAAAAAATTTTTATTCGTTTTCGAATTCTACTTATTCTGAAACGTGAAACCTCAAATTTTGAGAGGGGATTAAGTTTTTGAATTTGTTGGTCTAATATAATGGTTGATTATTGAAAATAATAAACTAAAAGAAAATAATAATGTAAATAAAATTAGTATATAAATAAAGTCGACAATGATAATAAAATACAAATTGTATACATTTAAATAAAATATATAGTCTATGTTAAGTAATGTAATATTTTGTGCAGTTTTATTTTGGTTAATTTGTATTCAAGTAAAATGTGTTTTGTAGCGAGTTCTGCCATAAGTATTGTTATAAAAGTTGAACTTGGTTTACATCCTTGGGTATTAATTAGATATTCCTTAACTCTATCAGGTTATTTTCTTTACATGTCAGGATAATAACTCCAATTAGTTTGTTTTTTTCTTTCGCTCAGTTAACATGGAGTGGGATGATACGGAAAACTGAATAATTGTGATCGCCTTACACAAAGTTGAAAAATTCCAGAGTTCATCTCTGCCTCGGATTGGCCCTCAGGAAGCCCTGATCTCAACACACTAGATTATCGGCTTTGGTCCGAACTGGAGAGGATGGCATGCCATTGAGCACACCCTAACTTGGAAAGCCTCAAACAATATCTGCTTCGAATAGTTGAGCGCTTTCCTCAAGAAGTGCTGCGTGCTGCTATTGATGGCTGGCCACGGAGATTAAATACCCGTGTCAAGGCAAAAGGGGGGCATTTTGAATAATTTATTTTTTGTTTTTCTCCCTATAGATATACATTTTATTTTCTAATAAAGTTTTTGAAAACATTAATTTTTCTGTTGAAATCTGTATATATTTCCTTGTAACAATATTTATGACAGGACTAGGGTCTGTGTTTGTATCTTAAACTACGTTTGTTTTTACATGAATACATACAATTAAGAGAGTAAGAAATCAATACAAAATAGCTTTTTTTTTTTTTTTTTTTCATTTTTTACTGTTTAAATCGATCCAGCAGTTCGCTCGTGTTGCTTCACATATTCGGATAAAAATTGGCGAGTAATGAGTCAAAATTCACTACAAATAATACAGTTTATTTATTTGCCGTAAAAAAATTAATGCAAAGTTGGCAATCATCTGTTGACTTATTGCAGTTATCTATATTCAATAATTTTATATTTTGAATTTTCATCTCCCGTTTGAAAGATTTCCTCCTCCAAATTCTTTGCGTATTCCACAACTTTAATCCACTCTTACCTGTCCCAAAAGTTTCATCAGAAACCTGCTCATCACCAAGAAAAGAGAGATATTCTTAGAAACGTGGTTCGACTTAGATATCCTTAGAAACATGAGGCGACGACGACAATCAACATTTCTGATTACTACTTTTTTGGGATCATGGAACCTCAATTAAATATGCGCAAGCAGTCGACAAATATTTTAACACAAATTTAAATATTTCCAATACCTGAGCTGAAGAAAGAATGTGGTTTCCTTTTATATTGAAGAATTTATATTAGTTTAATCTGAGCTCCGTGCTCATGCGCATCTGTATACGCAAATAACGCATAAAATATTTCTGCAGTCAGATTAATTGATCCTTATTGGTTAGTTTCTTAGATCCTGGGAAGGTGCCTTGGAAACGGAAATGTCTCTTACTATAGACACATTTTTTGTGATTAGTGGAGTGTTGTTGACGTGGAACTGCTTAGAAAATAGAAAAAAATTCAATTTGCTCAGTTACTACACTCGCAGATACTTGAGGTAAGTTGACAAGCAACTAAATGTTGCCATAAAATTCATCTATTACATCTTTCGATTATCTCTTGCTGATATCAATCCCGTTGGTAAAGGTAGGTAATATGAAGTTGAAAATGTTATCACAATTTGTTGAAATATTCATTCTACGCAATCAGCTTCAGTTTTGTATTAAAATATTACAATGTTTACTTATAATTATACTATTCTTTTGTTGATCTTGCAGGGGAAGGATATTATCAAGTATAATAATGAATATAGCGATATAATTAGTTAAAGTTTCGGGAGTAACTAACAGGCAATCAAATAATTGATATAGTATCATCAAATCATTGATGATTTTTCTATAAAAGATAAAAGTTGTACCTTTTAATATTGATAACACCATCAGAGTTGTCTCAGAGTTTTTACTAAACTAACAATTTCTTCCAATATTTGCATATAATTTACTCAATCATATACTAACCATGTTAACCATCCTAACGAATGGGAGATCAACATAATCATAACAGTACACAAGAAAGGAAACTCCAGCGAATGCAGTTATCATAGACTCGTATGTCTCCCAAAAGTGGTCTACAAACTGTACATTTCCATTCTGGTAGGGAAATTGAGGGCGTTTGTTGAGGACGATTTAGAAGAGGGGTAGGCTGCTTTTAGACCTCATCGGTAGACTCAAGACCACATTTAGCCACTCAAAACAATTGTGGAAAAGCCATGGGAGTGAGGGAAAACCACGCATCTTGTATCTTACATTTTTAGAATAACGCCTTCTTTTTATGACCGACCAAAGGCTGCTCTGGTTGTGAAGAACGTTGAACGCTATGTATTGCTAGAACTTAATACCTGCCGGAAAAAAGCAATACAATATCTTGGGAATAGGAGGTGGGAGGGAGAGAGGAGGGGTTGGACATTAAGGAGGACGGGCACCCTGTGGACAGGGGCTATTCCAAAACGCCAGGCGGGATTTCGAACTAACCCTTAATAAGTTGTATTGGCAACGTTTTCGTCTTAAACTCAATAATATAGATTATGCTTAAGCGGGGTAATCATTTATTCGCAGTGGTAATAGTTTTCGAAGGATCTTTGACTCACTTAATCATCCTCTATTTTAGCAAAAACTCTTTGACATAGGTGTCAATGCGAAGTTCGTCCGAGTCCTAATTGTAATAATATATATATATATATATATATATATATATATATATGGGCATGGTGTTCTTTACCTCCGGGGCACAGATATATTTATTTATATTTTGAAACTCAGTAGGTTAATATTTCTTTATATATTTATTATTTTTCAATTATTTTAAAACCTTTCAGGAATGTTTACTTTAGGGTAGAATCCAGCAGGTCGTTTCTAAATTCATTATAGATCGCTATCCATTGATCATTCTTTCGATGGGATTGGCACTGAGTTTAGGAACTTCCCAATATCTAATTTATATATATTTATCCAATTTAGAATCAATTATATGCATGTGAAGTTTATCACCTTTATCGTTTGATATATAGAAGGCCTAACTTCCTATCAGAATTCCTAGCTAATTTATTATCTTAATCTGATTTATTATTTCATTAATAGATAGTTCCTTCATCTTAACACGGTAATTTTCTATTTGACCTGATGTTCAATTATAATCTCTCTCTCTCTCTTTATATATATATATATATATATATATATATATATATATATATATATATATATATATGAAATAATTATTTTAATTTGGTTAGTAACATACAACAAACAATTGTACTATTTTACTTTAGAGTAAACTATTTTACTCTTGCTATTAAAAGAAATATTTTATTAATAAAATGCATCAAACTCCATACAGTTATTAAATATTTATTATTTAAAAATAATGAATTAACTAATGTCATTTAATGTAAATAGAAAGTTGAGCTACTAGCTCTACTAGAAAGAGCTAGTAGAGAAAGTACTGCTTTAATGCTAAACTGTGTATGTGCAACTGACTGTGTATGTATGTGTTTGTGTGTGTGATTTAGTATATGTGTGTGTGTGTTTGATCTCCTCTACTCACCCCATTCTGGGCCATTGTCCTTCACAATTATACTTTAACTTATATGCCTGTATATTCCTTTCAGATTGACACCTCCATATTTCGCCATGATTCTCATAATTTCAACTTTTGCTAATAAGTTATGTGACGGACCGCTTTGTAGTTACTTGATAGACCAAGAAAAAGATTCGTGTGCCAGCTACTGGTGGACTAATGTTCTATACATCAATAACTTTTATCCAGGAGTACTCCATTCGGTAAGCTGAACATTAGCATTGAGAAAATATTTACAATAAAAAAACATAGCAAAAATAAAATAATATAAGAGAATGAACAAAAAAAAAAAACTTCCAAATTATAGGTGAATTCTCCAATTTGTAATCATATTAATAATGGGAATGTATACAAAATCTATTATAAATACATCGTAGTTTGCATTATACTCTCGTCCAAACATCATCAAAGGATATGCACAGCACCTCACAGACAGCAGAAAAGAAGAGCAGCTAAGAAAGTATGTAGAGAGGAAAAGAGGAAAATGATATGTAAAAGGCTTGAATATATTAAAATGTTGAACAATATGCATGAAAGCAGAAAATTTTACAAGAAAATTAATTGGTTCAGGAAAGAGTATCAGCCGAAGCTGAATAATTGTAAAAGTAAAACAGGAGAGGCTTTGGATCGAGAAGGGGGGGGGAGCTGATAAGCAGGTTGACCCAACACTTCTCAGAGTTGACTGAACATTGGTCTGGAGGTGGAGGATGTTGAGAGTGGAGAAGAATGTCAGGTGTGGCAACCACGACCGCTAGTTGATGAACCTGACAGAGAGGAAGTCGGATTTGCCATCGTGGGCTTGAAGAACTGTAAAGCTCCCGTCGAGGAGAGGATAGTTGCGGAATCGAGTGAATGCTGCAGTGGTAAAATGAAGGCCTTAATATATGAGATGATCTGTGACGTATAGAGAAAGGAAAAGATGCTGGATGACTGGAGGATTGGATTAATATTTCCTATTCTTAAAAAAAACAACTGCAAGGATCAGTGCACAATTATTGAGGAATAACTCCATTGGGTGCTGTATAAATTCCTTCCTAGTTCAATATTAAAAAGGCTGCGAAAATATACTGAGGAAATTTTAGATGACTACCAGTGTGGTTTTAGAGTTTACTGCGGTACTACAGATCAAATTTTTCTTATAAGACAAATGATGGAAAAGTGCTACAAGTATGACATTGATATACACTTTTTATTCGTTGACTACAAGCAGATATTTGATAGCATCAAGGGATCAGCTCTATTAAGAATGCTAATGAAAAATGGAGTTCCACATAAACTAATTAATTTAATATGCATAGCTATGGAAAATGCATCATCCAAAGTTGCTATTAGAAATAAAGTTGGTCGGTTCTTAAGGTACAATCTGGAGTGCATCAAGGAGACGCCTGTGACTGCTGTGAAAGATGCAGCTGAAAAAGGTACCATCGTTGATAAGACCTGGCGAATTTGTGCTTACGCTGATGACTTGATGATAGTTGGGCGAAGTGAAAAGGCACTTAAAGAGGCATTTGAAATAATGTAAAAAAATGGCAACAAAGTAGGACTTGTGGTCGATTAAAACAAAACTAAATACCTGAAACTGTCCTCGGCAGCAAGTAGAAGATCCTGCAATGAAATCATAATAAAGAATTTTAAGTTCGAAAATGGACCCACATTAGTGTATCTTGGTTCTGCCCTAAATAATGAAAAAGTAATCAGCAGAGAAATAGACAACAGATTAATGGCTGGTAATAGAGCTTACTATGCAAACCTAAAACTCCTCAAGTCTACATTATTGTCAAAAGCCACAAAATTAAAGCTGTATAAAACGCTCATTAGACCAGTAGTGACCTATGGATTAGAAACTTGGTGTTTATCGCAAGGGGGTTGCAGTAAACTAAAAGTATTCGAAAGGAAAATAATAATAAGGATTTACGGTGCTACAGGTGTTAATGGTGAGTGGAATGTTAAAAGTAACAATGAAATCAAGGCTATATTAAAGAATCAAAACAGTACTAATTATATCAAGGCAAGTAGGCTGAGATGGGCAGTACATGTGGTCAGAATGAAGAATGAATGGCTGCAGAGGAAAATATTGGAAACCCACTTCAGTGAGAAGAGGAAAATAGGAAGATCGAGCAGAGCAGATGGAAGGATGAAGTGGAGGGAGATGCGAAGAAGCTAGGAGTTCGGAATTGGAAGAGAGTAACACAGGGCAGAGAGAAGTGAAGAAAAATAACTCAGGAGGTCAAGGGTCAAGCTAGTCTGCAGCGCCGAGGAGTTAGTATACAAATTATATTATACATACATCAAAGTTTGCATTATAATCTGGCCTCAACATCATCGAAGGATAAGTCCCCTACAGACAACCTTATAATGAGGAGTGCCGAGAAGGATAAGCCTCACAGCAACTCTTTTATTGAGGGGTGCCCAAAAGATTAAGCCTCACAGCAACTCTTTTATTGAGAGGTGCCCAAAAGATTAAGCCTCACAGCAACTCTTTTATTGAGGGATGCCCAAAAGATTAAGCCCCACAACAACTCTTTTATTGAGGGGTGCCCAAAAGATTAAGCCCCACAACAACTCTTTTATTGAGGGGTGCACAAAAGATTAAGCCACACAACAACTCTTTTATTGAGGGGTGCCCAAAAGATTAAGCCCCACAACAACTCTTTTATTGAGGGGTGCCCAAAAGATTAAGCCCCACAACAACTCTTTTATTGAGGGGTGCCCAAAAGATTAAGCCCCACAACAACTCTTTTATTGAGGGGTGCCCAAAAGATTAAGCCCCACAACAACTCTTTTATTGAGGGGTGCCCAAAAGATTAAGCCCCACAACAACTCTTTTATTGAGGGGTGCCCAAAAGAGTAAGCCCCACAACAAACCCTGGAGAACTCTCTTGCTATCCTTTGCAATGTAGAGCCTCGTAACCCTTTGCCTTGTACATACCCATAGCTCCTCCCCTTGCTGCCTAGTTTTATTTTTATTATAGTTTTATTTTATTTTATTTTCAACCCTCCCCTGCCTGAAGGCAATACGGGTATTTGCAAGCAGTGGGATGTTAATGTTACATAACAACCCACTGCTGCATTTTTCACTATTACATTATTTTTCTGAGCTGTGCACACAGCCTGCTCTTCTCTTCACTTGCATCTGGTATAGTTTTCTTCTTATTCCGGTGGTCTCCCCGGTGCAGCTTCTCTTCTTCTTCCCAAAGAGAAGTGGGTTGGTAGGTGGGTTCTTTCCATCCGTATATAAAACTTTTGAAGTGATCGTATCTTTCTTTGGCCATAAGTTGAGGAAGATCTCTTTCTGTTAGGACAAAGAGACCTGTTTCTCTCAACAGTTTCGCCCTCAGGGACTCATAGACCGTACAGGTAAGCACAACATGTTCAGCGGTCTCCGGTACCCCACAACATGGGCATAGGGGATCGATATTTATACCATAATGAACGAGCTTTGCTCGGAAACCCCCATACCCCGTGAGAATCTGTGAAATCCAGTAGTCCGGAAGGACCCAAGTCGCTTCTAGTCGCGAACTGACGGTGGGGAAGTACTTCCTTAGAGTAGCTCCTTTGGGAGTCGTCAACCATCGTCGGTTCCAGTCCTCTACTGTATCCTCCCGGAGAATCTTCTTCCAGTTTCTTGGATCATCTCTTATTCCCACTCGGAGGTAATCCGGTAGAGCCGCTAAGCATTCTCTTCTAATCTTATACCGGTAGTAGTCTTCTCTCAGCAGGAGGTCGAGAGGTATTCCTCCTGCCAAGACCTGCACAGCCTCATGAGACACCGTCCTGAATGATCTGGATACTCGAAGCAGAGCCATCCGCTGAATCGTGGCCAACCTACATTTCTGTCTGTGCGAGAGATTTTGGCTCCAGACAGGGAACGCATACCTCAGGATACTCACAATAACACCTTTATAAATGGTCATAGTTGCTGGGTACCTGAGGCCCCAAAATGCGCCCCCAATACGACTGAGTCCGTTAAGGGTTAGGGCTACCCTACTTCTCAAGTAGTCCAAGTGAGGTGTCACGTTGAACTTTCTTCCAATCCTAATCCCAAGATAGGTGACAACCTCACTTGGACGTATTCTTGATGCTTGTACAACCATTGTTATAGGGTGAGCCCTATCAGTCGTGCCTTTCAAGAGGATGGCCTGAGTCTTAGCGGCGGCCATCCTGAATTTCTTCTTCTCGCACTACTCTTCTACTAAGTTGGCGCACCTTTCAGCTTCTTCTATCAGTCGGGTTCTGCTTTTCGAGGCTACCACAACGGCCAGATCATCTACATAAGCCGTAGCGGGGAACCGCTCCTCTTCCAGTACTCCCAACAACTCATTGAAGACTAAATTCCATAGGGCAGGACCTAGAACAGAACCCTGGGGACAACCTCTTTCCATGGACTCTTCAACTTCGAAGTTACCCCGTATTCTTAAAGTTCGGTCCTGAAGATAGCTCCGTAATAGCTCGTACAAGTTCCTGGGAGCTTCATACTTCTGCAACTGCTGGAGTACGCACGCCCACCAAACACTATCGAAGGTGGAGGAGATATCAAACAGGAGGAGCATATCATACTCTCTGCCTTCTCTTCGACGTCATTGCGCACTCTCAGCAGGGCATCCACGGTTCCCCTACCCTTAGTGGATCCGTACTGCCGTGGATGGCTCGCTCTTGAGAAGACTGGTCGTAGGCTCACCAGGAGTAGGTTCTCTAACACTTTGCTCATAACAGGGAGGAGACATATAGGCCTATAAGACTTGGCTAATTGCTTGTCCTAGTGTCCTCCCTTGTAAAGGAGCCTTATGTCGGCAATTTTCCAATTTCGTGGAAAGTATCCCCTATCAAGGCAATCATTGAATAACTCCAACAATGTATCTTCGATATAGGGGATACTATTCTTTAGCATAGCCGCATCGATTGCGTCTAAACCGGGAGCACGACCAGTCCTTTGCCTGTTCACAGCAGCACGGAGATCCCCTATGTCCCATGGTGGGCACAAATCCTTACCAGGTGGACATACTGTAGTGCGCCTTATGAATTCCTCTTCTTCATTATCTTGGGACGGATCATCTCTGGGGTAGATTTCTGCTATAAACATCTTCGATGTCTCTTCGAGAGTGGTTGCATGGGTAGCTCTGCACTTGAGCGCAGCAATCACTTGTTGTGGTGTCAGCTTACCCAGAGCCACTCTGTAAGGACTACCCCAAGGATTCTTTGATGACTCCTCAACAATGAACTCGTCCCAAGACTTCCGCTTTTGTAAGCGCACCTCATTTCGAAATGCCCTGGCTTTAGACTTGTACTCGTCACCAAGTTTAATGCGCCTCTCGTCACAAATACACCTCTGGTACGACCGCCGGGCCTTGTAGAGCTCTCTCTTCATCATAGTTAAGGCCGGCGTCCACCATGGGACAGGTCGAACTCTCGCTTTCCGATGCTGGAGGGATTCTTCAGCAGCATCACGGATGACAGCTGTGATCCTGGATACCCTGTAATCCAGATCATGAGTCTGATCCATGTCAGCCTCATCCCATTCCTCATCAACCAATTTTCCCTCCAGAGTCGACCGGAAGGCGCTCCAATCTTTTCTTCGGGTTATGTAACCCTTGTCTGTGCCGTGGACCCTTGCTGCCTAGTGCCCAGCCATACCTCGTCACCTTCCAGCCTATTACACAGCCATAGTTTCTCCTTTGCTGCCTAGTGCGCAGCCGTAGTTCCTTCCTTGCTGCCGAGTGCGCAGCCGTAGTTCCTCCCTTGCTGCCTAGTGCGCAGCCGTAGTTCCTTCCTTGCTGCCTAGTGCAGAGCCATAGTACCTCCCTTGCTACCTAGTGCACGGCCATAGCTCCTCCCTTGCTGGCTAGTGCACAGCTATACCTCGTCACCTTCCAGCCTAGTGCGCAGTCGTAGTTCCTTCCTTGCTGCCTAGTGCGTAGCCGTTGTTCCTCCCTTGCTACCTAGTGCAGAGCCATAGCTCGTCCCTTGCTGCCTAGTGCACAGCTATACCTCGTCACCTTCCAGCCTAGTGCGCAGCCGTAGTTCCTCCCTTGCTGCCGAGTGCGCAGCCGTAGTTCCTCCGTTGCTGCATAGAGCACAGAGTCATAGCTCCTCAGCTTGCTGCTAGTGCACAGCCCTAGCTTCTCCAGAACATTATCATGGCAAATCATAACCTTATATTAGGGCAAATAATATTCTTTTGAGGAATGGAATAGTCGTCGAGCTGCTTATTTATATATTTTAGTGTTTCTAACGTAGTAGCCAAACTGTTCAAAATTTGTATTATTCTTTCTCCCCCATCTCCTTCTGCTTACAAATAGTATGCTTACGCTCTTCTTCACGTTTACTCCTTCCAATCGTTTCGATTTGAATTTCATATGTTTTTCTTAATTTCTTAGAGCAACACCACGTTAGGTAAGTGACCTTTACCACTTTGCTTTACCATGGCATAGTTTGAAAATAGTGTATTGTACCTATATTACCAAAACCCGCTATTGAAATATGCCCAAAGTTCATTTACAAATGAAAAAAAGGGTTCGTTAAGATTTTTTATTTAAATCTGTCAAAATAAGTAAGTAAATAGATTATACTCACCTCATTTTAATTTTTAATAACATTGAATTTTCACTTTTTACCTAAACTTACTTTAGCAATTGTCGTCGGAATACATGTTGCCTTAAAGTGTAACTAACTCAAAACCACAGTTTAAATTAAGTTGTAGGAAGCAACACATTAATTATCATTTCTGTATTAAAATAATGTTTTTAATAATACTATCACTTTGCAGTGCATGCCGATCAGCTGGTATCTGAGTACAGATTGGCAACTGTTCTTTTTAGTATCACCTTTCGTCGTCATAGTGATAAACAGGTGGCCCCGTCATTTATATAAGTTGATAACTGCAATATTTTTATCTTCTGTTATATCGACTTTCTTGGTATCATATTTCTATCAGATTCCTACAAATCACTGGATGTTTAACAGGTCAGTACGTAGTTTCAGTTATTCAATCTATTAGTTTGTATGAAATTTATCGAGTCCTTTAGAATCAAAGCCCGTCATGTCCAATCTTTATGAGAAATAATTTCACTTGATAAAGTAGTATTCTAAAGCTCCTTTTCGAATAGCTTAATGATAAAATACTAGTACTAAACAAAACTTGAATATATAGGAGTCTGGTAAAGCAGGTATGTGCTGGAAGAGGCCCATCCCTCCTCCCTTCGGAGATTCCAAAATCGGTTCTTTCAAGTATATGAATATTATCTAGTAAGGATAATATAAATCGGTTCTCTCAAGTATATGAATATTATCTAGTAAGGATAATATAAATCGGTTCTCCCAAGTATATGAATATTATGTAGTAAGTATAATATAAATCGGTTCTCTCAAGTATATGAATATTATGTAGTAAGGATAATGTACTAACTCTTAAGTAAAAAAATAAGTTGCACAAACAAGGATTCCAGCCGAAAACTACCTACTTCCATGAAACCCTTTCCTCAGCTCTTGATATCAAATCGAAATGGCTACTGCTTCGTAAACTTTCCATTTGTAATCCTTCCAGATCCCCTACCGCAAGCCTTTCTTGTATCCTCCGATGATTTAAACTCGCATTTTATATCTGTCGCTAATAACTTTTCAGAGATATCCTCGGCTTTATCATAACATCCCACACCAATCCCATAGGACCAGAGCCCCCAATTTTTTGTATTATTTGTTTATTTATTGAGTATTACAGCAATCTGTCACTTAAACATTAGTTATAGTAAGGTGATCTAACATTCACACTATATGTACAAAAAATATAAAATAAATAAAAGCAAAATAATAATCAAAAAGCATATACAATAAATAAAATAAAATAGCTTAAACATAAGAAAATTTAAACAAAGGAAAAAACACATGCATACCTATATACATTATTTACAATCAGGCGAGGGAACTCCGAGGAATGCTTGTCCCTCCAACTATGAAGGGAAAAGCTGGTCCCCAGAAGAACCCTGAGCTACTCTCTTAACGCATCACTGGTACTAAAGCCAGCGAAGATTGATCGAGAGCACTTTAGCCACATACACCCATGTCTTGAGTGAAGAATCTGACCATTGCCTTCTTGGAGGATTATAGGGATGGGTGGTGCTTGATAAGGATTGTTCAAGAGGATTTGGATGACACGTAAGGTTCTGGTGAAATTTAGAGAATTTTTCTGGGATAAGGTCTAGGATTAATGGGATGTTGAGGTCATGATGTTGGGTTTTGTTAGTTACATAGAAAGGAACATCGACTATTGTTTGAAAGACTTTTGACTGGAAGGATTAGATGCGTTTGATGTTAGAAAATTTTGCTATTCCCCACAGTTCTAGTCCGTAAGTCCAAAAAGGTTTCAGTATTGTCTTGTAGATCAGTAAGTTGTTTTCAGTAGAAAACTTAGATTTTCTGTTTAGTCGTCTGTATAATTGGTCGTATCGTCGGTTAAGTTCTTGTCTTTTAAGTCTAGTATGTGGGTTCCACGATAGTCTTCCATCTAAGATAAAGCCAAGATACCGGACTGTGTCTGAAAAAGGAAGCTGGATGGAATTAAAGTGGACTGATGGACAGGATCTATGCCGGAGTGTACAGGTAATGTGCTTGCATTTGGATTCGTTTTCTTTGATGCGCAATTTATTACACCAGTGCTCAATCAGGGATAGGTGCCTCTGCAGATTTAAAGATGCTATTTCGAGATCTGAGTTGGAAGATAGAATGGTGGTGTCATCAGCTAATATTGCCATGAAGGTGTTGGGATGGGCAGGGATATCAGGGAAAAAAGGATATAAAGGATGAGACCCAAGACGCTACCTTGAGAAACACCGGCTTCAGCGGGGTAGGAATTGGATAATTCTGTACCACAGCGAACTCGAAAGTTACAATCGGAGAGGTAGGAGCGGAGGATTAGGCACAAGGACTGGGGTAGATGGGTTTTCAGCCCGCCGTGCCATATCCGGTCAAAAGCTTGAGCTATGTCCAGAAATGAACCCGAGCAATATTGCTTTCTTCCCAGTGCTGCGGAAATATTATAGACCACTCAGAGTCCTTGTTGGACTGCGGAGTGTTGTGAATGAAATCCGAACTTATTAAAAGGAAGATTTTGGGATACTATCATGAGTAGGATTCTTTTCAGTAAGATCTTTTCAAAAATTGGTCTATAGGACGTCAAGGTGTTGGGAGGTTTTCCCGCTTTCGGAAACAGGATAATAGTGGAATATTTCCTCAAAAGAGGAAAGTTGGTGGTTCTTAGGATAGTATTATATAAATAAGTGAGGAATATAATAGCTTTAGGAGGAAGTTGTCGAAGGATTTGCAAGGTAAGGAGGTCGTATCCAGGAGATTTACGGAGAGAAAGTTTTTGTAAGTGATGTTTGAACTAAAGGATTAACTGCTTTAGGAGGTAAGAAAAGTGGAATGAGAGATGTAAGGAATTTTTCTACTGTTGTGGTTAGGGGTGGGATTGGATTCCGGATGAGGGGTGAATGTTCTGGAGAGGTGTCTGGCGAATTCTAAGCTTTGTCTTCATCAGAAGCTGCCCAGGAGGGGACTGTTATTATTATTAAATATTATTCATTATTTAAATACTCTGACATTTTATATTGTCAGATTCGTCTTTCCTTTGTTAGTAGAAACACAGACCTTATTTTAAAGAAGAATTCAATGTATTTTTTTTTTCCTCAAAAGTGTTTAATTATAATTTTTTCCTACTGAACATCGTTTTAAGTATATAGATTTGTTTTGTATATTGAATGCTTAATTAATATTTTCTATACTTTTTCTTTTTTTTTGTTATTGTTTTATTTAAGCCAAATGTAGTCTTTTTATTTTGTTATTCTAAAGTTATTTTCTATTTCTATTTCTATTTCTAAATATTTAATTTTTAAATTAAAACTAATGAAAATTTAAGACTTCAATTCAACATTAAAGGTATATCTCTCCTTATAATAATTGAAAACTTCCAAGCTCAAAATACCGATACTTTTCTTGTTATATCCGTATTTGCGTCTTGTTTTCATAGATCAAAATATTGAGACTTGTTTGACAAATATCGATACGTTATATTTTTATATATAATTTTTAGAACCCTAATTTTTCTACTGGTTAACAACATTTAATATATAAAAGGTAGTGATGTTTTTGTTTATTTTTTTTTTCTTCTTTCAGTTTGTAAAGAAAAAATCTGGTGTGCTCAACACACAACTTTCACTTACCGCTCAACATTGAATAGAAATTATTTTATGGCCATGTTGGGCTATTATAACATTTTTGAACAGTATTTTTAACTGAGCTAAAGCTAAAAAAATACAGTTAACAAATCATAAATACCATTAAAATAACAAAAGTCCTATTTATTATATCACCGGTTGATTATGGGTTATGCGATCCATTGATCATGGATTGCACGACCCGTTGATTATGGATTGCACGACCCGTTGATTATGGATTGCACCACCCGTTGATTATGGATTGCACCACAATTAGTTATTAAACCGTTACTTTCCGTTGCAAAGTTTATTAAAACGGAATTAAGAGATTTGCATTGTCTGTCATAAAAAAATCAAAAGTTGTCACACTAATTTTAAGTGGATACTGTTGGAATATCACAAAAGCAAATTTTATCAAACTATTCACTGATTTAATTTTCAAAAGTTTACATGATGATTTTTCGGAATGAACGGATGATAGATACCTAAATAATTAAATATAATATCAGATCTAGAATTATTAAACTACAGTAAATATATTTAAGATTATTAACATATCTATGAAATATTTTTATATTCTGTCACATAGAATTAGAGAAAAAATTGGAGTAAAACGGTATTGTTCACCAGCTGTTTATAGATTTTAAAAAGGCTTACGATTCTATTGACCGCCAGAAACTACATAATATTCTAATCGAGCAGGGGATTCCTAAAAAATTAGTGAATCTAGTCAGGATGTGCTTGACGGAGACACTCAATAAAGTTAGAATCGGTAATAATCTGTCCGAAAAATTTGAGGTTCGTTCAGGTTTAAAACAGGGGGATTCCCTTTCGCCTGTCCTGTTCAATTTGGCATTAGAACATGACATTAGGGAGGTAATGCGAACCGAGAAAGGGTTGGATCTGGGCGGGACAACATCCGTGCTGGGCTATGCTGATGATCTGGTACTGTTAAGCGAAGACCTTGAAACTATAAAACTAAATACGACAACGTTAATGAAAGCCGGTAAAGAACTAGGACTCGAAATAAACGTGGACAAAACAAAATATATGGTTAGCTGCAAAAATGGCAATACTACTGGTGATATCGATATAGATGGTAATATGTTTGAACAGGTTGATAAGTTTAGATATCTAGGTTCTACGATAACTAGAAAAAACGAAATTGAAGAAGAGATTAAGGTTAGACTGAAGGCGGGAAATGCTTGCTATTTTTCTGTACACAAAACTACTTAGTTCGCGCCTCTTGTCCCGAAACTTAAAAATTAGAATCTATAAAACAATTATCTTGCCTACAGTCCTTTATGGGGGCGAAACTTGGCCGCTTACATTAAGGGATGAGCAGCGTCTTAAGGTGTTTGAAAATAAAGTATTGCGTAGAATATTCGAACCGAAGAAGGATGAGTTAACCGGAGAGTTCAGACGGTTACACAACGCCGAATTGCGTGAAATGTATCCGGGTAATATAATTGAGGTAATCTCATCGCGGCGAATCAAATGGGCTTGTAAAGTTGTTGGGCTTAGTAACCAGAGAATTCCTAAAAGGTTAATATTTGCTGTGTCGAATGGTAAGCGTCCGAGGGGTGGACCGAAGCGAAGGTGGGAAGATTGCATTAAAGCCGATCTGAAGGGACTGGGTTTGGACGGCGAACGATGGAGGGAGGTGTGCAATAAGCGATTGGTGGTGTCGGCATCGAACCTTCGGGTTCGCTAAGCCTTTTTATTATTATTATTTTTTATCTTTCACATAAGTGCAATAAAAAAGTAGTGGATACTGTTGGAGTATCATAAAGGGAAGATTCATGAAATTATTCACTAATTTAATGTTCTAAAAAGTTAGATGACAATATTTTGGAATAAACGGACGTTGATACCTAATTATTTAAATATAATATCAGATCTAGAATTATTAAACTACAGTAAATGTATTTAAGATTATAAACATATGTTTTACACAAGTACAATATAATAGTTTTTTAAACAATGTCATTGCCTTGATTAGGTGGATTTTAAATACTTTTTCAAACTTATAAAATATTTTAAAAGTTTAAATTTATTTAGTAAATTTCATTTAATTTCCTTGAAAACATGTCATTTACATTAAATATTGTTAGTTTTCAAAAGTTATTATTTAAAATTTTTTGCCACCCTCCGTTACCTTCTACAACTTTCTATATTAGATATTGTTTTTTCTAAAATTCTGCGCTTTCCAACTATATATTATACGTACACCTTCTGACTAGTATTTCCGAAGATTCATTTTCTACCTGGATAAGCATTTTTATTATACTAGTAGGCCCGTGCGAAAAATTTGCACAGCATATTGTTATCAAATGCCAAGTAATAAGAAAATAAAATTATGCAACGTATCAAAATATAAAGAAATCAAATGTTACTTTATCGATAAATATAATCGACAAAGAAAACAAAAATTAATTGGCCCGCCTGAAGGAGAAGGAAGCCTTCGAAATTGGTGGCTTATTCTTGAGATTTGCTGAAAATTTAACGATGATATGTCTTGGCGATCAAAAACACCATCGATGCATAATATAAACTCCTCCTCTCTCGATAATAAAGACCACAAGTCGACGAAATGAAACATGTATTCATTGGCAGTACTACAATTAATGTCAGGTTGTGTGGATGCTAACCCTATGCCTTGCGTCATCTCGAAAATAGTACGTTTTTGGGCTTAAAAACACAGGATCCGATGGTTCCGGAGGAACTATCCGGGTCTTGCTGTACGTATCAAAATCTTGAAGATCCAATCTATCCCGTATCGACCTACAGACCTACCACCGTTCCAGTATCGAAGCCTAGCAAAATGTATGTATCGACTTTATTTATTTTAGAAAGAAAAACTTTTTTTTAATTTTAATTTTTTTTATTTTAATGGAATTTACAACTGTATTACATAGAAAATACAATAAGTAAATGTGAAATTGGTAACATGACATGTACAACATGAAGAGAAACTACCCATTGGTAGAACTCAAATTAAAGTTCTATATTAGAACATCCCGAGGCCATCTTCTTTTCAGACGCCTCAGAGGCTTATCAGGGATCGAAGAGGAAGCAAGGTTTGAAACGAGAGGATTCGGATGGTTCTGCAGTTTGTTATGGATGGATAGGTATGTGGATTGAGCTAAATCGGAAACATATGGAACATTAAGGTCTTTTTGGATGATTTTATTTGTGACAAAGTAAGGAGCGTTGAGGATTTTACGAAGGATTTTGGATTGTAAGGATTGGATACGAGAGGAATTCGATGGTTTAGTGGAGCCCCAGAGCTCAACTCCGTAAGTCCAAACAGGTCTTATTATTGTTATATATATGAGTCGTTTATAATTGATTGAAAGCTTAGATCGTTTGTCTAGTAAGTGGGATTTATTGGAATTTATTTTAATCCTCCAGTTTTGACACCATTTTTCAAGGCTTGTGATGTGCGATTGAAGAGTAGAAAGAAAAACAAAAGTGAAGAATACAATTCGCTAATCCTCCGTGAAATTCTGAATCCAACGGTACCCCATTCTAGGTATTTGAGCATGATAGGAGCTTATATTTGGTACAAAACCGATTTCGAGCCTTGCTGTATTAATATATGTGTAGATGTGTGGATGTCTGAGTGTGGATGTGGATGGATACATTTATATAAATTTTTCTATACCATTTTTTATCAACTAAATTAATTTGTCAATTTAATTAAATTTATTTCATTTTATTAAACTCTTGTAATTAATTACTTTAATTACACACATATTACTTTAAATTTAATTTTAAGGTTTCTTTTTTGTTTAATGATTTTAAGTAAATTTTGTTTCTCTCATTATTTATTATTATTTGCATTAGGAGAAATATTTGAATTCATTCATTTATTTTGTATCATGTATTATTTCATTTATTATTTTTTTCCAATATATAGAATTACTGCTATTCGGCATTATATTTGTACACATATTTATCTTCTTGGTTTTTATAATTTTAAAATTAATTGATTAATAACGTCTATGGATTAGCTTGAGCAGAATTGACTTTTCACATTTGAACGACCGTTGCCGCCACAATTATTATTACCGGACTAGTTCCCCCCACCAGTACCGATACCGACATTATGTTTTCTTCCATATTATTAACAAGATTAAGATTAAGATAAGATGGTGACATCATCGCCAACCTAATACACTTGAAATAAGAAAATCATATTTCTCTAAAAGTGGGTCTACACCAAAATGTAACCAGAAACATCCTTAAGCACATTGTTTACAGAGGTGACTAACGAAATAACATTAGCATTGCAAATTACTCCTTGTTCTAATCAGTAACATGTTATTGATTGTAACATGTTATTCTAATCAGTAACATGTTATTGATTGGTATTATTGACATTTTTATTTCCGTTGTAATCCTACCTTAAAGAGCCATTGATTGAACCTTTATCAAGCCAGTTGATGAAAACTGTTTTGACTATTAAAGAATCTTTCATTTCCCATCATGCGTTCTTTGCAAACTAAAATATTTTTTGTTTTTTTAGCTTTGAAGATGTCAACAATTATTACCAAAACATGTACGCCGCTGCTTACATGAGAGCCGGCCCGTGGGCCGCTGGCATGTTGTGTGGTGTCTTCTTGCACAGCTTTAAGAATAATCCAATGGAGCTTTCAAAAGTAATTATTTATTTTATTTTTTTGTTAGATATTGTTGCCTTTCACCGCAGTGAACTAGAAATGTATATATATATATATATATATATAGATATATATATATATATATTGACTCGCAGATAAAAAGGTGAAGATGGGCGGCGCATATAGCTCAAAGCAATCCATCAGGACGTCTTTACAACAATGAATGCCAGAGTAGTAGATTAGTAGGCAAGAGATCACGTGGGAGGCCAAAAACCAGATGGATAGATAGGATAAACAAAGATACGGCTGAGCTTCATGCCGCAAAGTGGAAAGCAGCAGCCCAAGATAGGCAGAGGTGGAGAAGGCTGGTTCAGGCGGCCAAAGATCTACAAGGTCTGTAGAGCCAACCGAAAAAACAATATATATATATATATATATATATATATATATATATATATATATATATATATATATATATATATATATATATATTTATATATATAAATGGCCTGAAATAAGGGCATTTATGCTATTCCATAGTATTCCATATCCTATGTATTCTTTATACATACATACATCCGAGTCAGTCATTTATCCGCACCTGGTGATACAGCTATCCACAGTCAGTTCTCTCTAGTGTATTATTATCAGTAATTAACTTTAATTAACAGTAATAAGTATTAACTGTAACTTTTGACCAATAAAGTTTTTTTTTTTACAAGTATTGAAGTTGATAATATAATATGTATATGTGTACCTGGGTGGTGGAACTTCGAGCATGGTTAGTACTTGGATGGTTGACCGCCCACAGGAGATAGCCACGCTGCCCGAGATTCTCCCCTCCCCAATTCCCAAATATGAGTATTTATAACAAGAATGCGTTCTCTGAAAAGAGTGGTGACCGTATCCTGAGTATTTATAACAAGAATGCGTTCTCAGGACTTTTTAACTATGCACTGCTATTGGAGTGCAACAAATGGGTAGTTTTGTTTACAGAAGTAGTTTTAATCCCTTTTCGTATTGTATCATTGTTATAAGTGCAGATCTAAAAATATTAATATTAAAAACATATTTTTAACATATAATAGAAACTAAAATTGTTGTTTACAGAAAGTGCTTATAATTTCCTGGGCGCTCACAGTACTTGGACTATGCTTGGCAATTGAATTTGACCTACCATTTTTAAGATGGAAACTTAATGAAACTGGTGTTTGGAGTGCCTTGTCCAATGCAATTCAACATAATCTATGGGCCGCCTCGATTTGCTGGATAATATTTTCTTCAGGGACTCAAAAAGCCGGTATATCATATGTCTTTTTGAATATTAATTATATCAAATGTTTTTTTGAATATTTAATTAGTTGACCGTTGAATTATAAAGGAGGAGATGGTCCGGGGTGGCGGTCATAAATAGGCTAAATAGTGGCAAAACTATTTTATTAAAAGCCATCTATATATGTTTTCACTTATGTTCCAAATATAAGTTTTCTTAAAAAAAAAACTGGTCCACCTGTTATTTGTTAATTTATGTAAACTGTAATTGATAATGAATAGATCAAATGTCTATCCAAAAATCAAAAGTCATCTTTGACATCTCTGACCTATGTATTCTTAGCATTTTGCTCCATTTGTCCATTTATTTTGTTTTATTCGCATTATTTCGAGCCCAAGTTCTTTACCGTACTTCATCAATGTTGTTTTATTTTTTTTTTGTTTCCGCGTGATCACTTAACATATCGAATATGTTGAACATATCGATCACTTAACATATCGAATATGTTGAACATATCGATCACTTAACATATCGAATAATCGACATACCCGAGCAGCTGTCAGCGGAGGCGGGCTCGGTGCAAAATAATAAAACTAAAATATAACGCAATAATTCTGACAAAATACTTAATAATGGTTATTATTTAAGTAAAGTGTTTATTATAACCCTAAAAGAGTATTATTATAAACACTTAAACTTTTTTTTATCTACAACAACTAGGAACATAATATAATTGAATACGTATAATCAATTTATAAAATAATGTACATTAATTCAATAACATTCCAAGAATTAATATTTCTTCTAGCTCGTATCTACATAAATTAAATTAAAATTAAAGTAAAATGATATACACACATAGCTTTAAAAATTCAGCTTAATTGAACTTGGTTAACATTTTCTTCACTTCCGTACCGTCTCAGAAGTTCATATTTACTGATTCCCTATTTACGTAATTAATTAATGAAATATAATTCACTGGTCCAGTTTTAGATAGATTACCTCTCACATTCAACACTTAGGACAGAAAAAAAGGAACTAAGAAGGGTTCTTGGGTTTTAACTTGTAAACAAAGTTACAGGGTGAATTTTTGGAGAAGAGAGGTAATATGATACTACTGTTCCTGTCTGATCATCGCTGAACTAAAATGAACTTGTTCTTTTTGCTGACGTAACACTCAGCAGCTAACGCTTTTTTTTCTCTTTAAACTACAAACAAAATGAATATTTTCATTAGGCCGTGGTAATAGCTTTCTCATAACGAATGTATCTCCGCTTCTTTTTAAAATTGATGTAGAAAGGGCCCTAATAGAATGGAAGAAAGTATGTAGAGGTATGGGCATGAAGATTGGAAATGATTGCCTATTCAATCTCCAGTTTCCTTACGACGATACACTAATCACTTCAGAAGCAGTTTCTCAATTTAAGTGTCTAGGGAGCTGGGTGAATATGATAGAATTATCAGACATGGACATTGAAAAGAGCATAAGGAACGGAAAGATAATCATTAGGACCTTAAAGTCAATACTGTGGAGCAAGATAGTGTTCCTAAAAAAAATATATATATATTTTTTAATCGTCCCAAGTGTTCCAAACACAGGAAAGTGTTATTCTCTATTCAGCCAATCTTGGAAAATTAAACAGAGTCAATTGAAAAGATTACTAGCCCTAGGTGATCGTGTGGTGCCAAAAAACTTCCAAATAGTGAAATAACGAAACAAGAAGAACAAATGGAGAACCTCCTCCACACCATCGAAACACGGGGCTGAAGTGGTGTGGGCATATCTTCAGGATGGAAGTGGGACGATGTCCTAAGCGAGTTGGGAATTGGAAACCGGAAAGAAGATGGAAGAAAGTTCGCAAGAGGAGAAGCTGGTAAGAGGGCGTTGAGGAAGGAATGGTGGGCATGGGTGAGCGTGAAGGAAACCAGCAGGAGGAAACAAGATGGCGAACAGTTTTATTTGGTGACGACACATGACTACTGTAAAAGTCGTGAAAATAAAAAAGGCTTCTCTATCTTGAACTGTTGCAGTTTACATGTTTCCTAAAATTCAATAAATAAGCGGTTTATGTTACACGGTGTTTATGTTCAGTTGAAGGCTGAATTGATGTTAGTTCACTTTGCAATATTTTTGTTTTGTTTACTAAAGTCCACTATTTCACCAATAATTAAATAATTTTGTGGAAAACGAGATAGTAGAAGGGTTGCCTTGAACTGGTCCAAGCGCTGGCTGAATAATAAACCTGTCTTTATATATCTGAGGTGTTTAAAAAAAATCTCTAAAAATTATTGAATAACCACGAAGCAATAATTTATTGAGAAAAAGACCTAAATAATAATTCGAATTGATAATACGACCAAACAGACATGCTTACCACAAAAAAACTAATAATAAATATTTTGAATAAAAAATAAAAATTTCTTAAAAAAAAACTTGAAAACTCCGTTTATTGCAAAAAGTGATAAGTGATATAAAAAGTGAGTAAGTGCATTATTTATTTAGTTTACAACACTGTAAGTGCATACAAATGGGACAACGCCTTTAAATATCTAATATAGTTACCACAAATTTCTTAAATATTTAAGGCTATGGAATGAAATAAGGTTATGAACTCACTTAAGGTTATGAAATGCTTTATTGCCAAAAAACGATGAAATTCACAATTCAATATTGACCATAGAAAAAATGTTGATTATTTAGATGAGGACCGCAGTGGTTCCGCATGAGTTACGTAAACTTGTAAGCGGTACTCCATGAACAAGTGTGACCGAACTGATCGTGAACCACGCGTAACCCGTGCGGTTCTCGCCTATACAATTAGCTATAAATTAATACATGGAATTATTTCAGGTTTCGTTGGTATATTCTTGTGTTGGCCAGGTTTTCAACCATTAGCTAAGATTTCATATTCAGCTTATCTAGTTCACAAAGTTATTATTTCACTTTATTTTGGAGAGACCTCTGGTTATAGATATATCTCTGCTACAAATCAGGTAAATATAGGTTATAAATAAAGTAACCTATTATTATATACATACAGGATCTTCCTTAAGTAGATGGAAATTTGTACAGGAGCGATAACAGATATCAAGAGCTACAAAAAAGTTCATTTAAACAATGGGCCAATTTTTTGCAGAAAAGTAAGAAATCCAAGTTTGGTGTATTGTTAAATCATGTTTTTGTTAAAAAGAAAGCGATAACTAAAAATATATTTGATTGAAGTAATCAACAATTGCTTTACTCTAAACTATACAAAATTTACTTCAAATGAAAATAGAGTTTGTCGCTGTAAAATCCATTTAAAGTAGACTTTTGAGCAGCTAAACTAAGCTAAGTTCTGTTTTAAAAAAAATCATAAATACTTTTTTTATCATCATCCAACTGATATACAAAGTATACTGTAGATACTCAACTTTTAGAAAAATTTCCTAGTTTAATAAGCTTAAGTTCAAATTCATTAAGTTAAGGTTTGTAACGGCAAACATTGAAATTCAAATCAAGTTAAGTAAAACAAATCTTGTGATTTTTCATCCTGTCACCTAAAAATACCCATGTTTTCAGTAAAAATTACAACAATTAACTGTTGCAAAGCTCTTATTTCATGTCCTCTCCCCCCCCCCCCCCCCGTGATATTAGCTGCATTATAATAAAGATAATTTATTAAATATACATTAGTTATTGTTTATTTGGTTATAATATTTGTTTTTTACACAGATTTATGTTATACGAATTGATCTGTATTTATGAGCGAAACATTACTTATTTCCAGTCCAAAAATATACGTTTTCATGAAAATAATTGAAACAATCATAGATTTATTTATTTTAAACCTAAATTTTGGGACTAGAAACATTTAGGTTTTCACTTATAAATACATATATTAGAGATCTGGGTTTAGAAAACACTTCTTTCTTTAATAAGCTTTAAATCCATATTGGATAAGTTGAGTTTATTAACCAAAATATTGAGGTTCATTTGAAACTGTACAAAGACATTATGTGGTTTTTTCCCTAGTCAATTAATAATAACAGTGTTTTCAGCCAAAATGACTAGAATTACCTGTTGCAAAGCTTTTATTTATTGTTTTTCATTATCTGGAATGTTTTTTAATAAACATAAGTGCCTAAATCCACTTTTTCTTTGTAGTAATAAAAAATTTAAAATAATGATTTTTCAAATATTTTTAATGTAAAGTGGTCATGAAATCGTGTTTTTAGCTCAGATCTTTCATAGAAACAAATCCATAATTATTGATGTTTTAAAAATCTTTCTACCCATAATATTTAATTTTTTATGAATTTAATTAATTAAACCAATTAGCAAGTTTCTTTATTTTAAGCGTACTTTTTAGGACAAGAAACATTAAGTTTGTCGACTGAATTATCAGGATAAATGCTCATGGCAGATAGGTGGGAGATCAATAGAGTTTCATGACCACTTTACACGAAATGTATTTGAAATGTCGTTATTAATTTTTGTAAATAAATTTTGTATTTAGGAAAAAACAATACAATATTATATTTTAACATAATTATTTTAATAACTAATTCCCTATTAAATTATAATTGAATTAACTATAAATGATTCATCGATCCCGTTTTTCTTTCTTATCCTGACAATATGATGCTCTTCAGTGTTAGAATAAAAAATAGTCCCAATTGGTACACAATAATGTTTCTATATGTTTCAACTAGCACGGGATCGAAAGGTCGAATAAATGCCAAGATCAATGAATAATTTATAGTTTTGAATTACAATATAATGACCTTTTTCTTGGTTTATATATATATATGTCGTTAGCTTCGGTTAACAGGGTTCTAGCTGGTCTAAACTAAACTTCGAGAAAATCGAGTTTGAAAATTTAAAAAGCTAATACGTTTTTACTTAATATCATGTTTTTCTTCATTACTTTAAATAATTGTAAATTAACTTTTGAAATTGGTTTAGTGATGAAAAACCCTGCTCCTGACTTTATATTGAATTAGGCAAAATGCAGTTTGAACCTTGTCCACAACAAAATGAAAGTGATAAAGATGTAAGTGATGATAGAACCTTGTCAAACAAAAAATATATATTTGATTTCAATATGAATCAGATAAAATTAGTACTGAATCATTTAAAATTAACAATTTTTATTTTTTCATTCATACTTCAATAAGTAAACTTATGGTAATTTATGAATCTTGCTTAAGATATCCTAATTACTTACGATTAGAAAATTTTGACATTCATTCAAGATTTTTAGCGTTTCAGTTTAACACTCTAGATCTAGTGATGCCATAAACGAATATACGATCTATTTTTTTATTTAAAAATACATTTTTATTATTTATGGAATTTTCACAAACCGTTTCCAAATTGACGGATTCGCTTAAAGAATAATGCTCACATTGCTGGTTAATGGATAATATCTTTAACACTTTCTCCGGGGAGGCTCTGGATGCTCAATAGATTTCATTTTTCAGGCACAAGCGGATCGTGTGCTGTTTTTGATGAATATATTATGAAAAGTTCTTGTGAACCTGAGGCCATTTTGTATACTTTGTGGCCTTCAATACCAATGAAGATTTGCTTCTAGGTTACCTACGGCAGTTTGTTCCTCTTTGGTCTATCGCCGGTGTGTTTGTAATGGAATTTTCGGTGGTATGTCCAGTATAGACCGATTTCTATGAAATGGTTAGACTTGGCTAAACAATATGTTTCGCAGACCTCAATGGTTTCGAAGAAGAAAAAAACGTCTGCCAAGGAAGGTCAGTATAGCTTCTTCGCCGTTTGCATTGCCTAAAACATATCTATATTACCCGGTCGTATTTTTTAAATTTTTCATATGAGAATTTATTAAACGGGTTAGAAATCCACGAATTTGTTCATCAGCGAATACTAAAATGCGAAAAAGATCTGCATATGCAGATTGCCTGTTTGATAACTCGAGATTAAAAAAAAATCGAGTGCGTACTTAATAAGAGTATCACTACAGTTAGTGAATATAAACATTGGGTATTTTACAGGAAAGCATAAAAACTAATTGTTTCGTTATGATTTATTAGTATAACATTCATAATTTATTGCCCTCTGCTATTTTTCATCGTAGCAGAATGCTTACGACCTTTTGCACTAACAGTAGTAATATGTACTTAATCGGCATGTTTTCACTCGTAAAATCGATGTTACAAAAACTCCATAAGAGAAATAAGAAAAACTAAACTTTTTTTTTCAGAGTTAACGAGACCAATACTTTTCTTCAGTCAGAACAAAACTATTTAAGCTGGAATATAAAAATATATGTAAAAATCACACATAAACTCGATACCACGACGAGCTGGTTGAACTTCAATAGAAATAAACACAATCACAAATAAGATTTTTCTTTTTACAAACTCAGAGTAAAAATTAATTTAAATTTATTGAAAATTACACGAAATCTAAGTAACGTTTGGAATCGACGAAACAATACAGTATAAATTAACTCTTTGAATAAAACCTAAAATTTTATAACCCCATAAAAATATTGTCATAACCTAACTCCCACTCCATATGATCAGTGCCTTTCACATTTCACTGCCATTATATTGTTAACAATTATTTATATTAATTTTAATTATTAAATGGAATTCAATGAAATTCATATTAGGAAATTTCTATACTATTCTCCAAATTTCCTCCAAGTTTGGGTCAAATTGAACGCGCAGTTTTCAAACTATAGGCTTGCCAAATAATACGTTTGCTGATCCGAAAGCGAAAGTATTTTTTCTAGGAGAAGTGGATAGAATTTGATAAAATTCATACCTACTTGATTATCTGTTTACCAATCCCTAACTTCCCTCCAAATTTGAGCCAAATCGAACATGCGGTTTTAGAGATATAGACGTATCAAGGAAAACACGTTTGCGCATATATACGAGAAATTAGTGGACAGAATTCAATAAAATTGACATTACGTTATTTTTTCACCATTGCCTACCTGTTATCTAACTTTGAGCCAAATCGAACTAGCCCTTTCTGAAATATTGGCATATCTAAAAAATACGTTTGCGCGTGCGTAAGCGGAAGTGCTGGATGGAATTTGATAAAATTGATATGGGACCATCTAGGCTCCAATCCGCATAATCCCTGAAAATTTCATGAAGATTGGAAGAACGGTAATAGCTGATATGTCCGTCACATCGATTTGATTACAGACAGACCAATAGACAGACAGGTACCGAACCAAATTTGATCCTTGATGTCTGAAACGTAAAACTCGAGTGGAAATTTTCGATTCTGAGCACAAACATTTTTTTTAACTTCTTGCACGAATACAATGCTTCCCTACCCTTTTATATTATTAACGTAAAGCTAACTGTAATAATTATTGTTATTTTTTTGATCAGTTGATTCAGAATCTAATTGATTGTAATTATGGTTAAATATACCGAGTATAGTGAGTATACCCTTCAAACCACTAGTGAGGTGGCTTAGGGCTTAGGGCTTTTAAGGTTGCTGTTACATTGCGTACAAAAGCACCAAATTTGTTATGTATCTACCTTAATAATAATAATAATAATAATAATAATAATAAAAGGATTAGCGAACCCGAAGGTTCGATGCCGACACCACCAATCGCTTATTACACACCTCCCTCCACCGTTCGCCGTCCAAACCCAGTCCCTTCAGATCGGCTTTAATGCAATCTTCCCACCTTCGCTTCGGTCTACCCCTCGGACGCTTACCATTCGACACAGCAAATATTAACCTTTTAGGAATTCACCTTAAGACGCTGCTCATCCCTTAATGTAAGCGGCCAAGTTTCGCACCCATAAAGGACTGTAGGCAAGATAATTGTTTTATAGATTCTAATTTTTAAGTTTCGGGACAAGAGGCGCGAACTAAGTAGTTTTGTTACAGAAAAATAGCAAGCATTCCCCGCCTTCAGTCTAACCTTAATCTCTTCTTCAATTTCGTTTTTTCTAGTTATCGTAGAACCTAGATACCTGAATTTCTCTACCTGTTCAAACATATTACCATCTATATCGATATTTTTTATCGATATAGATCTATATCGATATAGATCTATATCGATATAGTAGTATCGCTATTTTTGCAGCTAACCATATATTTTGTTTTATCCACGTTTATTTCGAGTCCTAGTTCTTTACCGGCTTTCATTAACGTTGTCGTATTTAGTTTTATAGTTTCAACGTCTTCGCTTAACAGTACCAGATCATCAGCATAGCCCAGCACGGATGTTGTTCCGCCCAGATCCAACCCTTTCTCGGTACGCATTACCTCCCTAATGGCATGTTCTAATGCCAAAGGTAAGTATCTACCTTAGGACACATTAATCAATGTTAGTCTATGGGCACTCTAAAAACTTTGAATATTCTCATGTACAGCACTAAAAACCAAAATGGCCGACAAAACGGATATTTATTACTTTTAAGAAAATATATTTTTCTGCTAAAGCTCAATTACAGCCGTAGGTTAACTCAGCAAACTTGGGGTAGTTTATGTATTAAATAAAGTAACCTAAAATATATTTAAATTTTATATTTTATTTTATTGTAGGAAATTTTATAATATATTTTACTGTAGGAAATTTTATAATATATTTTACTGTAGGAAATTTTATAATATATTTTACTGTAGGAAATTTTATAATATATTTTACTGTAGGAAATTTTATAATATATTTTACTGTAGGAAATTTTATAATATATTTTACTGTAGGAAATTTTATAATATATTTTACTGTAGGAAATTTTATAATATATTTTACTGTAGGAAGTGAAGATATTTTGATGCTAGTAGCCATGTCAATTTTGATTATTGCTAGAAAGTGATAATTCTGCAAATATATATCGATGGTAAATGTGTCAAACATGTCTTTAACCTTTATTTACTTAATAAGCACTTCCAGAACACAAAGCAAAATGCCATTTTGGTTTTTGTGAATATGTGCCTATTAATCCACTGAATTATTCAAGATGGCAATTTGTAGAATACGTTTTAAATATATGTATATATATTCATACATGGATTTCAAACTATGGAAATAATAAATCATTGAGTAATAATTTGCAATTTTTTTTTTTTAAATTAAAAAAAAAACTTTTTTTAGAAAGGTTATTATTACATTTCTACTTAGGCGAGAAGGTAAAGGATGATGTTCACTGAAGTCAAAACTTTGTACAGCAGCAACAACCAGTCCAGTTTCGATCACGTTTTTGTTTCAAAACTTTGTACCACAGCAACAACGAGTCCAGTTTCGATAACGTTTTTGGTTTTGTACATAATTTCGTTTTTTAAAAATAATTTTTAATTTGATATTATTAACTTTAATTTTTAAAAATTTTTATTACAAGTTTCTAGATTCAATTTATACTCATTGCCCTTAATTAAGGCAAAATGTATTTTTATTCTCAATAAAATATAATTATCTATCTATGTAAAAAAAAGATTCAATTTAGCATGACTTGTGGCTTTTGTAAGAAATCTAAAAAAAAAATGGCTCAACAAAGAAAAGAAGAGGACAACAATGAACGGATTTTCTTTATTTTATTCTATTTCCGAATTTTACGGAAAAATTAACATTAAAAACTCAAATCTTTGTTCAATTGTTGATTAAATTGATCAAATTGTTGAGTTATTCGGAAATAAAATTTTGCATTTATCATAACTTCTTTTCCAAATTCGTTTTGTTTATATATTGTAATCGTAAATTGCTATGTTATATATGTATATGTATATATATATATATATATATATATATATATATATATATATATATATATATATATATATATATATATTTATGACTCAGGTCACCTTGCATTTTTGTTCTTGCTCTTTAAATTTATATAGACATATTAACAAAAATGCAAGAAGACCTGTGTCATGTTTCATTAAAATCGTGGTATAGCCGTTGTAATTGTCTTAATAAAATAAACTAATTATCCGTTTTAAAATAAAACGGCGGATGGTAATGTTGAGTTGCTTGGGTTATCCTAGATTAACCTGTTAATTTCTTATTAAATCTCTCAAAAAAAGATCTGTTCAAGGATTTGGAGAAAAGCCACGGGCGATCAATTTTTAAAAAGGATTACGAATGCTACCTATCTTGAAATAAAAAACCTCAAATTTTGTTTGCTTCTCATCGATTAGAGCAGTATATTTTTGAAAATAATAAACCATTGTTTATATATGAAAATATTTATGGTTGTTTATTCAATGAAATTCAACTTTTAAAATAAAATATACTTGCGCCAGTATAGTGGGGAGCATTTAACAACACTACACTATGTTAGGTTTGTAGTATGTTAATAAGTTTAAAGCTACAATTAAAAATTAACAGTAAAAAAAATATGGTGTTAAAAGTGACATTTGGTCGTAATGACTGACATTAGTATAATAAATGAAAATTTTTAGATATTTCGGGGGACTTCTAAGCAGCCTTCACACTATACTAAGGTACCTTCACACAAAATTTGGCAGTTTTATCCGCCATGTAACGGTAATTTCGCTAAGCCACCAGACTATGTTGAACTGATGATGACTCACATGGTGGGGTCGAAACGTCGGCAAACTTAATAAACATAATTTTTTGACTGTAACATAATTTCTTTTTTTAACTTTAGTTCAGGAAATAGTTATCTTCCGAATACGTTAAATTAGATTCAAGCGAAGGTTTAGTCATGGCTAGTAAACGTTATCTTATGACCAGCAATTGAGCCACAATGTCTTAAACACTAGCAAACTTTTGTTGATTGAGTTTTATATAACAAAAATATATTTTTTCATGTTTTATGTTGTTGTTTTAGTTACCATTGATATTAGGAACAATATTGCTCGCCTATATTGCAGGACTGTTGTTTTACCTTTCTTTCGAAGCCCCAACGGCACATTTGGACAGAATTATATTTCAAAAAGGTATAAATAAATGACATGAATATTTAATTTCCAATAAATAGATTCAATAATCAGTAATATTTAAATAGAATATAAAAGATTTAGTCTTTACTGATTTAGTCGTGTTTCTAGGAGGAACAGGAAAGCAAACCAGCAAAGAAATAGGAGGAAATAATTCAGTACCAGAAATGATAACTGTAAAGAGAAACGGTATACAAGATTAAGGACCATCTAATGAAAATTAAACCTTCATTTCTAACATCTATGACTCTTTTTGTTTTATGTTCGATAGTCTCCGTAGATTTATAATAATGGTGTCTTATTTTGAGGTTAATCTCAATATAATATTCAACAAAAAACATGACACTTAAAAACGAACACAAAACTTGGTTTTCCTACATTCCTGCTGAAAATTGGTCCATTGTTAATGTTGACCTTTTTTATAGCTCTTGAGGTCGGCTATCATTTCTAGCAAAATTTCCCTCTATGTATATACCCCACCTCTACGTATACACCCCACCTCTACGTATACACCCCACCTCTATGTATACACCCCACCTCTATGTATACACCCCACCTCTATGTGTACACCCCACCTCTATGTATACACCCCACCTCTATGTATATACCCCACCTCTATGTATATACCCCACCTCTATATATGTATCCCACCGCTATGTATGTACCCCACCTCTATGTATATATCCCAACCCCGTAAGTAGAGGGAAATTGTTATAGCACTAATAGCAGAACTCAAGAGCTTCAAAATAATTCATACAAGCTATGGGCCAATTTTTAGTAGAAAAATAGGTAATCCAAGGTCATCAAGGAAGCGATAACTAAAGAAACATTCAATTTTAGTAATAACCAATTAATTCACTGTAAATTAAATAAAAGTTACTTCAAACGAAAAAGGAGATTGCCATTCTTGGTTTGAAACCATTTAAAGAAGACTTTTAAGCGGTTAATCTAAGCTAAGTTCTGTTTATAAAAAAATCATAAATTATTCCACATTTTAATTTATGATTTTGTAGAAACACTTTCTCATTTAATAAGCTTGAAGTTCATATTAAGTAAAAGTTTATCAGGAAAAAACTTGGAACCACCTCAAGTTGTGTAAAAAAAAATTATGAGATATTTTAACCATCCTAAAAGTACCCATGTTTTTAGCAAAAAAGACTACAATTAATAGTTGCAAAGCTTTAATTTCTTGTTTTCCTTGATTTGGGATGCATTATAATAAAAATAATTGCCTAAATATACTTTTTATTTATATATTTTTTTTTTTTTCATGAAATCTATGAAATATTAAAACGACATTAGTATTTTCCTAGAATGAAAGATGAAATTGCTGCCTATATAAATAAATGTAGTACATGTGAAAAAACTAAGTATAGAAGAAAATCTATGAAAACCAATTTTCAAATCACTCCCACTCTTGTAAGACTCTTTGAATATTTAATGATTGACACACTACATTATCAAAGAAAATTTATAATTACAATAATCAATCAAAAGAATTTCAAAAAGACTATATGCGGACTTTACTAGAACAAATAATGAAACAAACATTCATCAACTACTAACCAAATACTTTGCTCCTTATTCTCTCCCAGTACAAATAGCAATGGACCAAAGGTAGAGAATATAAAACTGGTATTATTCAAAATTGATTTGGACGTTTAGGTATTAATTGTCATTATACGGTCTCAAATAATTCAAGCTCTCTAGGAATATTAAATCGTGCACATTCGACTTCAATAGAACTTTTAAGGATAATAAAAGAAGAAAACTCCTCAAATAGTTTAGAAACTAATAAAAATATAGCAGTCAGGACATTAATGAAACATCAAATAGCAATCTTAAATTCATTTCTAACAAGATAATGTTTGGTATAATTATTGACCCCGACTGAGATGGGCAAATGATTAAAGAAAACTTAGTGCAAAAACATCATGATAAACATTATTCATAAATTATCCAATTGTAAAATATCGTAGGAAAAAGAAAAACGAACACAAGGCCAAAAACAAAATTGTGAAGACCCACCGAAAATTTAAGACGAAGCGTTAGGACAAAAGATGAGAACGTATTTGAGTCCGTCAAAGTGTTTATAGACAACAAAAGAATTGTGCATGTCCATATTGAAAACATGAGGAGAAGAAGAAAGACTCGTGAGAAAAGATGTGCTTTGCTTACAGGCGATGGCACCCGAGCAACTGCTGATGGCGGCTCCGGCTCTAGCCTATCTAACGTGGCGCACTCAGGCGGATCGTGCCGACTCTTTTTTAAATTTTAGAAAATTATAACATGTTAATACACTATATGCAATTCTTTGGTTTAATTCAAAACATAAAAACTATTAAAAAACGACTAATACATTCTCTTGCAAAAGAATCAATTTACAATGTGGCACTTAAGCAAATTTTTTATTTAGAAGGTAAAATAGAATCGCTAACGACTCATGATGGAACTAAACGAGAAATTATTAGGACTATATAACGGCTACGCACCGGCTAACTGGCAATATGGATGTTTCTTGTAAGGATTATTCCGACAACCAATCTTATAAAGAAAACTACCTATATCAAAACTAATTATTATTTTACACATGTTTTATTAAATTCAAACCCATGTATTAACGAAGTTATCAAAAATTATATTAGCTCTAGTAAGACAATTACTTTTAATATAAATAGTTAATAGTATTATAAAATTGTATAATCAAAATGTTCTTTACCCGCTACCTAATGTTACCTTACCTATTCCTATACCCAAAAGTTGTGTATTGTGTATCAACTTAGGATATAATGAATCTTTTGTAAATATTACTAGAAATAAGGATATTAGTATATTACCTATGCCTTACTCATATGAAATATTTAGATTTAGTTATTCCAATGTATCATTTCATAACTTGGAATATACAGAAACCTATGATTATATGTCTGTATCTGAAATATTGTAATTAATTTCCTCATTTATTGTATTTAACTTATTTTTATATCATGTATACCTCAAGTATCTACAAGTTAAAAAGCTCTTTGCAGTAAGCAAACCAGTCACCCCCATGGTAGAAGTATAGAATAACCAACTTTCAACCCCTGGTCACATTCTCAACTAATTTTTCGCCAGGAAGCTCGAATCTTCGGATGGGAGGAGTTGTAGTCGTCATTTAACTTAAAATATTGTACTCCAGCATCAGCAACTTCTCCCCACCACTAGGTTGACGCTATAGGTGTTGATAGCATGAGTCAGCAGTGTTATTATGTAACTTTGTGTTTGTCTTCATACCAATACATTTTTTTTTAAGTTGTTCATGTATCCGAGTTTGTAATTGTCTACAAAACACAAAGGCTTAACAACCGAACGGTTCGATACCTATACCACCAATTGCTGTGCACATATAAATAATAATAATAATAAAAAAACTGTACCGCTAAAACCCATAAGGGGTTTTGGTTTCAGTACTTTACTGTTATAAAGTATTGTTTCAAAGTCAACCGTTGCGCAGAGAGATGGTCGGCCTAGGATCGCGCTCAACAGCCAGATTATCTCCCTTAATTACTTATTTAATTGAGAGTACCCTCTTTATAGAGGCTGGTAAAAAAATACTTGACATCAGCCGGATTGGAATTTGGGACCTTGAGCTTAGTAGCCAAGAGCCTAACTCACTAAGCTACTTCACTCTTCTAAATATAAATAATCTAGAAGGTCACAAAAAACTCATAAGAAAAACAAAATTATGGCTTTAATGATAAGAAAAAAACACAAATTCCTGAATAAATAGTATTTTGATTAAAATCTTCAAGAAAAATAATAATAAATAAATAATAACCGAATAAAATATTTGTTAAAAGAATCTTGAATTTATTTAAAAAAATATAACTTTGTATACGTAAGCAAAATTTAAGTATTTGTGCTAAAAACAATAGTTGTTGATCGAAGTTCGAGCCTGCCGGAAATAGCGGACGGTGTCCGATAGTAAAACCTTTCGATAACCTCACGACTTTAGATTCTCTTCTTCCATGTCCCTGCAACCCTCGAAGGTTCATAGCCGCCTCAAGTAAGGTCCGCCATTGTTCTCGATTCCGGACAGCCACTCTCCAGTCCCGGATGGTCAGAATGGTGCGTGCTTCCTTATTCACCCATCACAGCCATCACGGGCCGTTCACGCTTTCTGGTGGTGTGAATTTCTTCTTCGAGGAGTCTCTTGGTATTGAGTCAGCATTTATCCTGGCCACATGCTCGCCAACCCTGAAGCGCACTACGTCGCAATAAATATACAGTTCGGATATTTCGGCGTTTGTCCTAATCCGCCAGGCTAGCTTGGAGCTCATGGGCAACAAAAGTCACTCCGAAAATTCTTCCTAATACCTTTCTTTCAAATCGGAGGAGTTGATTTTCCTGGGCTTTGGATAAAGTCCAGCTTTCAGGTCCACATGTAAGCACTTGCCTAGTTAGGGTTTTGTACAAACGCAATTTAGTTCGCGAGACAATGATTTACTTTGCATCAGTCGCACTAACCCGAAACAACATTTGTTAGCTGCAATGATTCTTTTTTGGATTTCGTTCCATATGTCGTTATCCTGAGTTATTAAAGAGCCAAGATATATAAATTCCTCGACTCTCTCAAATGAATATCGGTTCAGTCGTACACGAGAAGGTGGCATTCTTTGTGGGTTCGTCGCCATATGTTTTTGACTGGTTAACCTTAAGCCCCATTTTCGCTACTGCATCTTGAAAGTTCTCAAACGCCTCGGCCATGGCTTTAAAATTTTATATTAGATTAAGTTATACTTCGTTAATAACAAGATATTATCTTCGTCTCTTGGAATTCTTCGGTATCGAAAGTATCACTTTTCCAGAATTGGTGAGAAAGAAATCAATCCGTATACAAATATCAATAAAAACTAGCAGAACTCGTATTTTTTTATTTAACTTTTAAAATATTGTTTGTGTCTTCATATCTGTAGTTAGCTTCATTAAAATTTAGACCTCACTACTTTTTGTTTCATTTGTTTTTCAACTGATCCTAGAGATCGCTGATGCTAGAGTTGTGTACAAGACTTGATATGAGACCACTGATGCTAGATTCGTGTACAAGACTTGATATGAGACCACTGATGCTAGATTCGTGTATAAGACTAGATATGAGACCACTGATCACTAGCGGATCCAGGATTTAATTTTGGGGGGGGGGCTTCAGCCCGGAAGCTTTTTTTTCATATATATAACGATAATTACATAGAAAAAACAGAAATATACTAACTACCTATATGAAATGGTGTTTAAGTGATTCTTGAAGTCCTATTAAATGTAATTAAACGAGCAATAATACTTTAAAACATAATTTTTTAATATTTTTTACCATAAAACATGGTTACATTTTACCATTTTGGGGGGGCTTCAGCCCGAAAGCCCCCCTCCCTCCTCCGTAAATCCGCCTGTGCCACTGATGACAGCGGTTTCGGATCTTGCCGTGAGTATATTTGTATACACTGGAGCAGGATCAGCTGGTATAATTTCCTCAGAGCCTACTCTGGATGAACATTCTATTATGTTATTAAATGAGTTAGCTTTATAAATGAGTCCCATTGCATAATTTTGATGTATTCATATATTTTACTGTTAGCCTGGCTGGTCTCATTAATAATTAGACTATATGCGAACTTTATTAGAACAAATAATGAAACAAACATTCATCAAGTACTAACCAAATATGTTTCTTTATATTTGATTAACCAAATATGTAATATTTATATTTAAACGGAAATGGCCCGAATTCGAAATGCAGCTATAGTAGATATAACGATCTCCAAAAAAGTTCATATAAAATTTTTTCTGATTTTCAGCAGGAAAGTAGGAAATCTAAGATTTGTTTAATAGTTGTTTATTTGCTTATGTTGGTTTTCTGTTGAATATGAAGCGATAACTTAAAACATATCTAATTTAAGTAACTAAAAATTGCTCGATAGTAAACTAGACAAAATTTATTTTAAACGAAAGTAGAGTTTCCCATCGTTTACATTATTTTTTATTATTTATTTATTTAGAATTATAACAATCTGTCCATACATTATAGTGATATATTCACACCTTGACAATAACATTCACACCATATATACACAAAATATAAAATTAACAAAAGTTAATTAACTAATATAAAATTAACAAATATAAAAAATCAAAAACTATGTAAAATAAAAAATAAAATAACCTAAAGATAAGTAAATTAAAAAACACCGTCATACCTATATACAATATATAGAATTAGGCACGGAATCCCAAGCCAGGATTCTCCCGCCAAGAGATCCTTGCGCTACTCTCTCAACCGCGTCACTGGTGCTAAAGCCAGTGGAGTTTGAGCGAGAGCGCTTTAGTCACATACACTCATGTCTTGAGTGGAGAATCTGGCCGTTGCCAGAACCTCCCAGAAACTGGGTAGGAGTTGGGAAATTCTGTACCACAGCGAACCAGAAAGGTATGATCAGAGAGCGGAGGATTAGGTACAAGGACCGGGGTAGATGGGTTTTCAGCTTCGAAAGAACCCCCGGTCAAAAGCTTGAGCTATGTTCAGAACCGCACCCGAGCAGTATTGCTTGCTTTCCAGTGCTGCGAAAATATGATCGACCACTCGGAGTTCTTGTTGGACTGTAGAGTGTTTTGAACGAAATCCGAACTGATTCGAAGGAAGATTTAGGGATTCTATAATGGGTAGGATTCGTTTGAGGAAGATATTTTCAAAGATTTATGAGAGGATTGGAAGTAGGCTACTTGGTCTGTAGAACGTGGAGGTGTTGGGAGGTTTGCCTGGTTTCGGAAACATCGTTCTAAATGATCTCCTAAACACCATAGCTCCTCAGTTTCCTAATGACATATTCCTTAAATAAAAAAATAATACGTCGAGGATCTTCTTCTCATCCTCAATCCTGGTACTATTCCTTACATCCTTTCCGACTTAAACTCTTATCATCCCCGCCTCTGTTTTACTTTCGAATACGAAAAGTTTAGGCACAGGATTGCAAATGTTAAAAAAGGCCGCAGATTATAAAGGAAAAAATGGAATGTGGAAAAACTCAGGTGTCATGAAGTAAGGAAGAGGTGATAGATAAGCTGCAACAATGCGATGTGAAGGATGACGTTGAAAATGAGTGATCTGCTATAAGAGAAATAGTGCAAGGACCGGCGGAACAAGTTTTGGGAGAGACAAGTAGTAGAGTTTACTCTGAATGGTTCGAAGATCTGTAGAAGAAAAAAGAGGGAATGACTGAGAAAAAGGTTTGAAAATATGGAAGAAATGCGGGAAAATAGAGAGGAAAGAAAATTTTATCAGGCAGTTATGAAAATAAGAAACGGTTTCAGTCCCAAAATGAATGTTTGTCGTAGTAAGGAAGGCGTACTGTTGGGAGAAGATGCGCAAGTGATGAATAGATGGTCAGAGTATTTTAGAGAGGTACTAAATGACAGCGTAAATGAAAATGAAAATGACAATGAGAACACCAATGATGCCTGTGAGCCAGATACGAAAGTTGATCCTGATTTTGAATCGCCTTCCTTTGAGGATTTTGAAGGCGCATTAGAAGGATTAAGAAAGAACAGAGCTCCTGGAGAGGACAGTATATCGACGGAAATTATTAAGTGTAGTGGTGATTTTTTCCAACAGAGATTATATAATCTGAAGCTGAGGGTATGGCTTGATGAGGATATACCTAAGGAATGGTGGTCAGGTTTAATTTTCCAAATCTTTAAAATGGTATGTGAAAACTACCGCGAAATGACGCTTTTAAATGTTGTGTATAAAACTTTATCCAACCTTCTGGTACAAAGACTAAAAATGTATTCTGTAAGAATGAGAATGGATTACCAGTGTGGTTTTCGGCCTAACAGAGGTACTAGCCATCAGATTTTTACTTTACGACAAGTGTTATGAGCATTATATTGATGTGCATATACTGCTTATAGATTTCAAACTAGCCTTTGACCGAATTAAAAGAATTCAATCCCTATCCAGCACCACCCATCCCTATAATCCTCCAAGAAGATTAAAACGGCAATGGCCTCGCGACCTTTTAGAGTTTGTAAATATTGGAGTTCTGACAATGGCCTGATTCTTCACTCACAACATGAGCACTCTCGCTCAACCTTCTCTGGGTTTTTTCCCAGTGAGGCGGTTGAGAGAGAAGTACAGGGATTTCTTGGAGTCATGCTTTTTTCCCTACAGTTGGAGGGACAAATTTGGCCCGGAGTTCCCACGCGTAATTGTAAATAGTGTATATAGTTATGAATGTGTTGTTTTTTATTTATATTTTTAGGTTATTTTATTCTTATTTATTGTATATATTATTTTCTGTAGTATTTATTGTACATGTTCATTAAATATTCCATACATACTTTAGATCTTAAAAAAACCCTACAGAATAGGCACATTTAGATGTTTTATTGACATAAACATAATGTCCAACCAAATTATTAAAATTAACTTGACAATACATTGAAAGCATTTTGAAGAAAGATAACGTCCAGCCCTCCTCCGCTTAAATAGAATGGAAGAGTTGAAGAGTAAAGACAATCTATACATTGTTACCGATGATTTACATAAATCTGGTGTGTACACTCACACGACTTTCCTACCTATTTTTAAAAAGTATATACAACTTTAAATATGTCTATTACAAAAAAATAAAATAATTGAATTAGATCCATTTTAAACCGTTAAAACCCTTAAAAACCGTTGGGAGAAATCATTAGAGTATAATTTCTTGGATGAACTCAGCAATGTAAACGGACAAGTAACCATCATTAAAGCAGCGTATAAAATTTAATTCACTCTAACTTTGCTAAAATTGGTCCAATTGAGATGTTTTTCGGTAGTTTTGTCAGAAATTTTATAATCTTTCAAATAATAGGCTTTAAATTCAATTCGAACCAAGGGGCTGAAATGTAAATGTCCATTGAAAACCGTTAGGGTGTATATGTTGTGCCAGACCTCCTAAACACTTTTCTCCTTTATAATTTGTTTCTTGAGAATTCGCTAAACATACGAGAAGACTTTAATTAGAAAATTAGAGGAAAGTTTCATCAAAATCATGTTGCACTATAGTCTGTGGAAAAGCATATTCTGTCCAACAGAGTTCGCTATGGCTCCGCGCGGAAAGAGCTCAGGAGTGCCCTTTCTCCCCAAGACTGATGGCGCGAAAACCTTCCTCCACCCCTCCCAAGATATTTTATTCCTCTCTTCTTTTTAAAAACAGTGCAAACGAAAGTGGAATTTGAATATTCGTAGATTATGTACCATTGCACATCCTGTGGTCTATTCCATGATTCCACTTGTCTTTTGATTTGAAACTTTTCATTTTGAAAATTCATAACCCCGTAGGAATTTATACTTTAACTTTAACTAGGAATTTATAATTTAACTCTCAAAAATTGAAACACCGTCAAAAAGTGCACCCCTCGTTTACTGTAATGGCGCAACTTGTCCCATTAAACCCCATTGCCCACAAAACCCCCCTCTGGACACCACTGCAGGTAACCTTACTCAATTCTTATTTTATCTTTTTCTTCTCTATTTTCTTTTGTTGGCATTAAAGACCATGTATAACAAGCCTGCTGCATCTCTACCTGTCTTGGGCCAATTATTTCCATTTATTTGCACGCAGCTCTGTTGCATCTTTGTTGATTTCATCTGCTTTTTGGCATTCCACGTTGTCTTTTGCCTTCTATCGAGGCATTCATTGTTACTTAGAGCCTTCCAGATGAATTTCTACGAGCTACATGCACCGGTCATCTTAACCTCTACGCCTTCATACCATGAGATGCTGATTGACCATTTTCTTTAAGTAGTTCTTTGTTGGTATTTCTTCTCCATGTGTTAGTACTCTGATCCGGTTATCGTGTTGAGGATTTGTGTCTCAAATCTCTGAATACCCAGCATAAGATCAACAATCACTATAATAAGCAAATCTATTTGTTAAAACCATAACAACGTTATCATCAGTGGTACATAATGGGAAGAAAACAAACCAAACAATTTTTCAAGTTTTATTTCATAAAGAAAGAATAAAATGTTTCAAAAAGGATGATATCATAAGTTAATAACTTTAATGGGTCTTGTGATACGTTTCTATTATGCAAACCTATGCCAAATTTACCCTTATGAAAACGAAAATGAATTCAAGACCTTGCTATCAGTTTAATAATAATGGGCTCATCAGGTGCAGTGGTCGCCGAAATACCTCCCATCACTAGCGGGATCTTGGTGTCTTCGCATGTTTCCACCTTACATTTTTGAAGGAGAGTCACGATTCCCACTTTGGTCTGCAGAAGTCCAAATCTCATTCCTATTTGCATATTAAAAAAAAATATAATAATCCAAAATCTGAATACATGTTTCATAAAAAATAAAAATTAGTTATTACACAATCATTTTAATTTAAAGAAATTATTTGAAAACCAATAAACCTTATTATTTAATCTATGAGATTATTGCCTGAATAATTAGTCAAAGTGAAAACCATAATAGTGAAAAACAACACTGAAATATTATTATGTATATTTCCTCATGATATTTACAACTGTATTATAGCACAGTCAATGAATGATTATAGAAGGAATTAGCGGCGACACAATTTTTTACTTTGGGACATCGCTTGGACAAATAAAGAGGTAAACATACTAAAAGTCTCCACTGCTAGGTGTGGGGGGGGGAGAGGGGAGATGAGAGGGGCGCCTAGAAGGTCACTTTTTTCGTTTCTTTTTCTTATATCAGGAAAACTATCCATCGCATCGACATAGACGTTCTAAACAAAATTAAAGCTGATAAAATTTTAAATATGAATAATAGTATTTCTTTTCGCTACATTGGTTAGTTTCCGAGATATCCGTCCTCGAATATGATCAATTTTGAAAACAAAAATTTGCCACATGTTTATTGATGTTTTTCGAGCTTATGCTTATATCAGGAAAATTATCTATCACCTCGACAAAGATGTTTGATATGAAATTAAAGCCAGGACTCCAGTGTCATATTTACAAATGATCTCGAGGCCACTGCCGCTTCAACCTTCGAGGAGGATTGTAGGGATGACTGGAACTGGATACGGATTGTGCTAAGGGATTAGGATGGTGGATTAAGTTGTGATGAAAATTTGAAAATCAGGATGGAATAACGTCAACGACATAAGGGGATATTAAGGTCATGATGTAAGATTTTGTTCTTACATAATAAAGATCATTGACTATTATACGGAGGACTTTAAACTGGAAGGATTGGATGCGTTTGATGTTCGAAAATTTAGTTGTCCCCACAGTTCAAGTACGTAGGTCTGGATGGGTTTCAATATGGTCTTGTATATTAATAGTTTCTTTCAATTGAGAGGTTAGATTTCCTATTGCCTTGGTGGTCTGAGGGTCCTAGAGGTCTCTTTCTGTCTGAGTGCTGCCTGTGTTCTTGATTTCAAGATTTTATAAACTTGGAATCCCTTGTAGTTTGCTGTGTGGTTGAGATGGTACAGTGCGCACAGTGCATGTGCATTCCTGAGACCTGTGTTCCTGTTCGCACTTGACACATCGAGGTGAGCGATGGCAGTACCTTCTTATTCTTGTATGTGTACAAGATTGACAATTATGGCATTGTACTATTTCCCTTTTGGTGTATGGTTTTTCAACTGCTATACTGGTGTAGTAAACAGATTAAGATTATAAATATTTTTAAGCCCTGTACAGCGCTTTAAGTCCACAAAAAATAGTGGTAATGATATTTTGCTGGGTAATGCCCGGTTGCTCTTTATTTTCTTTATAAATATTAACGATTTGCGGACATTGAAACCTAAAACCGATTTCATGGGATGGAATTAAAGGTTGTGGACCTCGTATCACTACTCTCAGGGCTCTCTCTTCATATAACTGGTGGGTGTGAAATTCAGCCTTTGACTCGATTAAGTATTAAAGAATTTTTCTATGTGTTTCTGGAGAATCCGGCATTAATTTGATGTCATTGGTTCTACTATGACATAAATATTTACCATTGTCAATTATTTTATTAAGATGCTTGCAGAATAGAGGAAAATATTTAGAATTTCTGACAAATATTGGAGGTATTTTTGGCTCTCTGGGGTTGCTGCTGCTTCCATAGTATCTTCTGATGATAGATGGTGGTAAGGATTGGTGGTGAAAAACGGAAACTTATCTATTGTTTGGCCGGAAGAACCAGGCTGCGGATCATTAGTTGTTTCAGTTGGTCTGCCCGGTGTTGATGGTGGTGTTTTCCTATTGGAACGCCTTAGCCTTTTTTTTACAGGAGATTTTTGAGAGCTGTTATTTTCTCAGCTTCTCGTTCTTTTCCTTTTATTAGACATTACCACGTGACAATAACGCATTTAAATAATCTGGCTGAAGAAGTAAAATAGTTTGGTTTGAAAATAATTACCTAGACCGGTGGAGCGCCGAGCGACGTGACCCGACCCCTCCGGCTGCCGTCCGGCTACTGAGAGAGTGGGGGAGACTGCTTATAGATAACAATATAATAGTTAACCTCTCCACCTAAATCTAAAGTTGTTACTACTGTTCCATCCATAGCTATATAAACAAGCGATTACTCACTGTATTGTGTTCATTTGATAAACGAATTGTTAATTGTTCAATATCACTGTTTTTAAACAATATAGTTCACTAAATCACTAGCAATTTAATAACTTATGAGAGATGAAGTAACGTATGGTTTGTCAGAATTTAACGCATGCGAGGACTGAAAAAAAAAAAATACCTTGGTTTTTTACTTTATTTAAATAACTATAGATTGCTCCTTTCTACAATTAAATCATGAATATATATTATTTTACTAGATTATTTTAAACGGTTCAAAAGTTAGATCAATTATAACTTAGTATATCAATTCCAAGAATTTGCAGAAAAAAAATAATTTTTTATATTCGTTATTGCTATATTGCTCTGTCTATAGATCTAGATCTCTATGGATATATATATATATATATATATATATATATATATATATATATATATATATATATATTTATATATATATATATATATATATATATACGTATATGCATACATGCAATAATGTTTATTATTTTTTTCTGAAAATTGTCGGAATTGACATATAAAATTATAACTGATGTATATTGAGATGGATAGTTTTTTTGATATAAGCAAAAACTCGAAAAACAGCAATAAATTCGTAGCACTTTTTTTTTTTAAATTAACGGTAGCTGTGGACGGATATTTCGAAACTAAGCGAGATAAAAATAAAGTACATCATCAGTCGTATTGAAAATGTTATCAACTTTTGTTTGGTGTAGAACGTCTTTATTGATGCGATAGATAGTTTTCCTGATATCAGCGAAAGCCCGAAAAAAGTGACACACTAGACCCCACATCTGGCTCGCCACCTGGAGTAGGGGACTTTTAGTATGCTTACCTCCTTACTAGTCCAAATAATGCCTCTAAGTCAAAAGCTGTATCGCCGCCATTTTATCCCCTCTTCGCTAAGCCCTTCTACCTCCCTTTTCGAGCATTCGTTAACTCGACTATTATATGTTAATTTTTGCTGGTTAATTTTTACCAATAGACCCTCCTCCCTCCCCCTCATCTTCCTAGCTGTCATCGCCTAGATTTAAAACATGATCAGATATTTTATTACAAAATCATAATTTTTGTAAATATAATAATTTAACCAGCTAGCAGGCTCTTACCAATGCACATTCTAGGTCCTTCACCAAATGGTAAATAAGTATAAGGAACAATAGAGCCTCTGTTTTCTTGTGAAAACCGTTGAGGGTCAAATTTTTCAGGATCTGGAAAGTATTGAGGGTCGTGGTGCAGGGACCAGGTCGGAATGCTGATTATCGTGTCCTGTTCTATTTTGTGGCCAGAAGGGAGTATTATAGGCTTTGTACAAGACCTATACAACATTGGTAATGTTGGGTACTTCCTCGATGTTTCTGAAATGAAATAATAATGAAAAAACAGGAATGCATTGGATTATTAATGGTAATTATATTAAAGTAAATAGATTTGATAGTACAGGATGCAAGACACTCATGAAACAAAACTTATTAATCTATATTTAGGCATCAGTAACTGAAAATTATAACATTTCTGTCAGCAGATAATTGAAAAATGAAAATCTTCCTTGTTAACATTTTATTGCTATCATTATGACCATATGAGCAAATTTTGACGTTTTTTTGAGTTTTTTTCTTATCTTCAGGGCCATTTATTTCTATAACTATGTAAATATATCACATCTACAATACATTATTTCATGGTTATAATTTATTAATTTATTTATGAGTAGAGCAGTGCCACTTTGCCGGCCTTGTGAGGGGAAAGATGACGTCATTGCTCAGGGGCACCAAATGTTTAAGGCCGGCGCTGGTATAGAATCAAATACTGAATTAATCTAGCATTAAGTGGGTCCCCGGGTGCCTGTTTCCCAACTTTAGCGATTCAATTCCCTCCTGGGTTGGTGTATTTTCTCGGAAGCCCTGGGAAACGAATCTTGAAATTATTATATGTTTTACTATAAATATTTTCTTTTATTGTATAAATGAGTGTTTTGAAAGAATAAATTAATTTTTTGTAAAGTTTTTTTTTACTTTTCTACATCTGCTAGCAGTAGAGAGCATAGAAAATAGTTTGACCGCGAGATGTGATCTTCTAGATTCCCGATTTAAGTACACGGAGGTGGGATCATCATTCCTACGCACGGTCGGTGTGAGTTGCCTCCAGTAGTCTGACGGGCCTCACATACCCGTGGGTGGGGAGTTCTCGGGCAGCGTGGCTTTCCCTAGCGGGCAGTCATCCATTCAAGTGCTAATCACGCGCGACGTTGCTTAACTTGGTTACCTATAGCAAGCGTCTTAGCCCGCATGGCTTCACTAGCCCCATGTATATTTATATATATATTATTTTGCTTGCGGAAGTCTCAACATTGATAATATTGAAATTTACAATATTATCAAAATCTAAAAAAAGTTATTGAAAAATTAATTTTTCAGTTGAATGAACCAAATTAATAAAAAAGTTGAAATTAATAAAATTTATCAAGATTAAAAAAAAGCATAAGTTATAATATCTTAATTGATGTATACATAGAGGATGTCCCAACGGGCGTAATAATCTAGCAATTTATCGTCCTAAAACCCCTACCAATACAAGATATCTCATAAGTAGAGGGAAATATTTAAAAAGTTGATAGTAGACATCATGATCTACAAAAAAGTTTATATCAACAATTGCCCAATTTCCAGTTGCAAAGTAGGAAATTTAAGATTTGTGGTTTTTAAGCGAACCACGTTTTTGATGAATAGGAAGCGATAACTTAAAGAATGTTTGATTTAAGTAATTAAACATTGCTCCATACTTAACAAGAGAAAATTTACTTTAAACTAAAGTAGAGTTTTTCATTCTTAAGACTATTTAAAGAGACAAGCAGAGGTAAATTCAGTTTTTAAAAAATTAATTAATTATTCGACAAGCTTGACCGGCTAACTTCCCGGATTCTTAGGCAACTTACCACAAAAGCCATTATATTCCTTACATACCTATATAATTGTATATTCTGCACGACTTACTTTCTTCATGTAGTAAGATGTAGAAACACTCCACAATTATCCTTTTTCTTATACCAGGTAAACCTATCAATGATACCTCATTCTATAGACCAATAAGCTTGCTCCCGATCATTTCAAAAATCTTTGAAAAAACTCTTCTCAAGAGAATCCTCCCCACAATAGAATTCTAAAATATCCCTCAACATAATTTTGGTTTCCGCAACACTCCACAGTTCAACAAGGCCCACGAGTACCTGTTGTTGACCACATATCCTTTGCTCTCCAAAGCAAGCAATATTGCACTGGTGTCTTTTTGAACGTGGCACCGATGGTTTGCTTTTCAAGCTCAAAACGCTCTTACCCCAATCCTTGTACTTAGTCCTCAAATCCTATCTCACCAATCGTTTCCTCCGAGTGCGCTATGGCTCAGAATTTTCCAATTGTTATCCAGTTGAGGCCGGCGTTCCATAAGGGCAGTGTCTTAGGTCCTATTTTACATGTTCTTTTTACCGCTGATATCCCAATCCATCCCAATATCTTCCTAGCAATATTTGCAGATGATACCGCCAACCTATCCTCCCAATCAGATCCTGAACTTGCTTCCCTCAATCTGCAAAGAGATCTATCCCTGATACAGCAGTATTGCAACAATTGGCGAATCAAAGTTAATGAATCAAAATGCAAACACATCACCTTCACCCTCCGGCGCAGATCGTGCCCGCTAATCCTATTCAACTCTATCTCATTTCTCACGTCAGACATTGTCTCGGCTTCCTTCTTGAAAAAAGACTGATTAGGACCCCCCACACCACACTTACAAGACAAGAGCTTAACCGATGATTTGCCCAGTTATAAATATTACTAGAAGACGACTTTATTGGCGATGACGAATTGGAAGAAGCAATCTGGAGTATGAAGCTAATCCGAAATCCGTAGATAGTGATGGAGTAACTCCTGAAATGCTAAAATACATGGGGCCGAAAGGAAAAGAAATCTTGCTGCATCTGCTAAACTTAGTGTGGAAGCAGAAGAAAATACCAAAGGATCGGGAAGTGGCTATCATCGTCCCTATCTTTAAGAAAGGAGCTAATAGAGATTGTAACAATCACTGAGGCATATCTCTGTTGAGCGTATCAAGTAAGATTTGCTCTAAGATCTTGGAAAAGAGAATAAGAAGAAGAATCTTAAACTAGTCCCCCGTTCGGGTCTCCGGGAGGGGACTACTTTAGGGGACTCATGGCGCAAGTTGAAATATAGGGATTTAAATATTGGTACGTGGAACGTAAGGAGTTTAAACACAGCAGGGGGGCTAAAATCGGTCGCGAATGAGGTAAATGGGTATAATTTGGATGTCGTGGCTCTGCAAGAGGTTCGCTGGCCAGGAGAGGGCTCGATGAGGGAAGGAAAGTATACTATTTGGTACGGAGGAAGCGGGAATCATTGATTTGGTACCGGGTTTCTAATTAGGAGTAGATTATTATCCGCTTTGAGGGACGTACAATTCTTCAAAGGAGTTTATGATATACAAAACGATTATTTGGCCAGTTGCCACATATGCGTGCGTCTCTTACGAAGGCATCTGCTGAATTAATAGATCGGTTTGAAAAGAATATACTAAGACGGTTAATAGGAATTAAACTGGAAGAAGGAGTTCTCCGCTTGAGAACAAACAAGGAGGTATGCTCAATTTACGGCGATCTGTCTATCCCAATTGGCTCGAGTGCAGCGAATGAAATGGTTAGGTCATGTCCTGAGAATGGATGAACAACGACAGCAAGAAGGCTTTATCATGGGAAGCCAGAGGGAGTTCGGTTCGGTCTAGGGGAAGACCGGAGGCAAGATGGGGAGATATCATAAAAGAAGATTGAGAAAAAATGGCATATCCATCAGGTGCGCAGCCATCAGGGTCGACTGGGCCAAGGAAATTGAGCAGGCCAAGGACCGCGACTTGCGTCTGTTCCGCCAATAATGAATGAATACGTCTATTGTTTTTATATTCATTTTTACTTTCACTTACGTATATATCTAATATATAGTAAGTGTAAGTATTTCGATCAAGAAAATTTTTGAATCTGAGTATTCGACGGATTTATACGTTTTGAGGTACCCTGAGTCCAAATCACCAAGTCCCGACAAATGGTCTGTGTGTCTGTGTGTCTGTATGTTAGCATTCCAACTCAAAAACGAAAAGTTCTATGAAACTGATATCACGTATTTAAGATAGGTATGTGCCTTAGTTTTGACGGCAACATTTTCCTTAAAATCGGCTAACCTGAAGTGCCACTTTATATCAACGCTGGAACACATTTTCACAGTTTTCTTAATAACGGCTGTAACGATTTTGATTAAACTCGGTGTATCATTGTATAATTAAGTGGTCTTTTATATAAATTAGGTCTCATCACCATTGATGCCACATTACAGGGCTTAAATGCCCAATATTCATACACTTCTTCATCTAAAGTACCTTTAATATGGTTTATTTTAAAAAGATAATTATTTCGCATTATTCAGAGTTACGAAAAAATGCTAAATATAACTTTTGAAAGAATTTGAAAGAAGAAGTTAATAAAGGAGTTAATAAAGGAGAAAAAAATATAAAAATGCAGAAAAACGTAGCCATAGACTGTAGCGCCTAAACGAATGTACCGATTTCATTGAAACTTCGCTAAAGTCATTTTCTCGACACCCTTCAAATTTATCTGTATAACATTCATCAGCGAAAAGAAGCTGAAAAAAAGTTACGAGGGATGGTAAAATTAAATTCCGATTAACTCAAAAAGTATACACTTTTTTGGGAATGTTGAATGATTTTCTAAAAGTTTATGAAATAGCTTAAAAAAAAAAAAAAAATCGTTAAAATCGGATAATTAGGAGATAAGATATAGTCTCTAGTTTTTTTTAAATACGTTCTGCTGCAATGGTTATATACTTTGTTTCGGTTTTTGAATTTTGAATGTGTTAATAAAGTAATACTAATTTTTTTTAAATGTATTTAAAATCCACCTAAGCAACTTGATGGCATTGTTAAAAAAACTATTTCAGTGTACTTGTGTGAAAGAAGAAATAAAATATAAAATCATTTCATGGATGTATAAATCAAGTGTTTATAATATTAAATACATTTACTGTAGTTTAGTAATTATTTATTAAATAATTTATTAAATAATTTTTAAATTGGTCCATAATCGTCTTATCTTTTTGGCTACATTCAAGGAATTGCTGTGTTATATATGTGTGCGATGTTATATTGCGTTCCTGGCGTTTGAGAATTTAAAGAGAAAAAAGGAATTTTTTTTTATTTTGGTAAAGTGTTTATTATGTGTAAAGTGTTTATTGGTAAAGTGTCTATTCTTTAATATGGCTTATTGTTGATAATTTGTAAGAGTATTGTTATGAAGAGGGAGCAAATAAATACATATATAATATAAAATTAATGTCCGTATGGATTGATAAGTATGCTGTGTACGAAGCAACCCTATGTAGTAGGGCAGCATTACTTTTAATAAAGTATTTCTCTATAAATAATTAGGTATTAAAGTTAATTCCAAAATATTGTCATATAACTTTTTAGAAAACTAAATTAGTGAATAATTCGATAGATCTTCTCTTTGTGATATTCCTCTACCATTTCATTGTACTTGTGTGAAAAAAGAAGTGAAATACAAAAATATTTCATAGATACGTTTATAACCCTAAATATATTTACTGTAGTTTAATAACTCTAGATCTCATAATATATTTAAATATTTGGATATCTATCGTCCGTTTATTTCGAAAAATCATCATGTAACCTTTTAGAAAATTAATTAGTTCACTAATTAATTAGTGAATAGTTTGATAATTCTTCTTTTTGTGATATTCCAACAGAATCCACTTACAATTAGTGTGACAACTTTTGACCTGTCTATGACAGACACTGCAAATCTCTTAATTCCGTTTTAATAAACTTTGCAATGGAAAATAACAGTTTAATGACTTATAGTCGTACAATCCATAATCAATGGATCGAACAATCCATAATCAACGAATTGTACAATCCATAATCAACCGGTGATATAATAAATAGGACTTTTGTTATTTTAATAGCATTTGTGTTTTTTTAGCTTTAGCTCAGTTTAAAATGCAATTTAAAACATTTTATAATAGCCTAACATGGCCAGAAAATAATTTTTATTCAAAGTTCAAAGAGTAAGTGAAAGTTGTGTGTTGCGCGCACCAGATTTTTTAAATATAATTACATCTTAACTAGCTCTATTTAAGTAGAAATTAATATTCATTTAAGTAGTGTGATAAATGAATGTTGTGGAATAAATACACGCCATCAAATTTTTAATGTTTGAGTTGTGCCGTTTTTCTTCCAAAGTAACAGTATGTTTCTACGCGTTTCAATAAATACTATACAATAAACTCTCAAAATATTGTAAATTTTATTTTTAGCTATATACCTGATATGATCATATCCAGATATTCCATTTCATGAAGCGCCTTATAAGTGAGACCATTGTTATTTTCTATTTTTTCATTTATTTCTTTAATTAATCTTGATTGAATATCTTGGTGGAGAGCTAGCTCATAGAGGCAGAAACTTTGAAGTGAACTTGAGGTTTCAAACCCAGCAAGAAAAAATACATAACACTGGGCTGCCATCAGTTCCAGTGTAATTTCTAAATATACAAATGAAATGAATGCAAGCAATGAACAAGTTGAAATTTTTCGAAAGAAAAATATTTATGTAGGATAAGCAATGAAATCATTATACCGAATGTTTTTTCAAATTCTTGTTCATTATCTCCTTGATTTCCTTTATTCTTTGATTGCATTAAAAGATCTATGAAGTCATTTCTCACAATCCCATTTTTTTCTCGTTGCTCTACAATCTTCTTAACCAGATTTAGGATATATTTTTCGTCCTCTAAGGAAGTGAACCTGTAAAAAGTTAATTATTTCAGTTTTCTTAGGGTGGTTAGGTATTTATTATTTAAGATCAATTAAATAATACAATCTATTGCATAACATTGTTGTGTCAAAATTTTAGTATCTTCAACATTATTATTAGCCAAAATAAAAGTTTTAAACAATGAAGAGAAGAATAGTTGGGGTGCTCAGTCAAAAAAGGAAGGCAAAAAATAAATTATAATATTTATTTTTTACATATGCCGACGTTTCGACCTGAAGTTCAGGCCATCATCAGGGCTTTCTCCTTAAGTGTCAAGGGGAGAATGACCTGATGATGGCGTCATGAATCCCCTAAAGCAGTCCCCACCCGGAGACCCGAACGGGGGACTAGTTTACAAATCAGGGCATTCTCCCCTTGACACTTAAGGAGAAAGCCCTGATGATGGCCTGAACTTCAGGTCGAAACGTCGGCATATGTAAAAAATAAATATTATAATTTATTTTTTGCCTTCCTTTTTTGACTGAGCACCCCAACTATTCTTCTCTTCATTATCCACGACAGTCAACCAATTACCAATTATAAAAAAGTTTTAAACAGTTTAATGTTCTTTTCAAAATGTAAAAACTTTATTAAATGTATCCAAAATCCCATTTAAATTAAGATAATAAGAGATAATTAAGTGGAAGGGAATAAAATGGGAATATAAAATCGCTGGGCTTAGTAACGTAAGAATTCCTAAAAAGTTAATTTGAGCCGTAGGATGTGACGTAGGATTGAATGCCCTACTCACATATCTTTAGTTCACCAAACATCACAAATAGTCATGGATCTCCCTAAGGTAAAACACTCATTATCCGGAGGTAAACTAGTCCCCCGTTCGGGTCTCCGGGTGGGGACTGCTTTAGGGGATTCATGGCGCAAGTTGAAATATAGGGATTTAAATATTGGTACGTGGAACGTAAGTAGTTTAATCACTGCAAGGGGGTTAAAATCGGTCGCGAATGTGGTTAATGGGTACAATTTGGATGTCGTGGCTCTGCAAGAGGTTCGCTGGCCAGGGGAGGGCTCGATGAGGGAAGGAAAGTACACTATTTGGTACGGAGGAAGCGAGAATCATTGTTTAGGTATTGGGTTTCTAATTAGGAATAAATTACTATCCGCTTTGAGGGACGTACAATTCTTTAGTGATAGAATTTCGGTAGCTATATTTCAGGGACGTTGGTTCAAAATTGCATTAATAAACATAGATTGTCCGACCGAAGACAGTGACGATGAAGTCAAACACGAATTGTACGATGAACTCGAATGGGTTTATGTTAAACTACGGCGAAACTCCATGAAAATGATTGTAGGTGACGCAATTGAAAGGTAGGAAGGGAAGAAGTTTATGTTCCGGCGATTTGTAAAGAAAGTTTGGACGAATATAGTAATCATAATGGGATCCGCCTGATAAACTTTGCCATCTCGAAAAACCTGATAATTAAAAGTACGACGTTTAAACATAAGGATATTCATAAATATAATTGGACATCACCGGATTCGCAAACACGAAATCAAACCGATCGTGTCTTGATACAACATAGCTGGCAAAGCAGTACAATTGATGTACGGTCTTATCGCGGAGCAGAATGTGGGTCGGATCATGAATTAGTAATCGCGAAACTTCGACAAAAACTAAATATAAAAAAAAAAGGAAAAGAAAACTGCTTCGATCTTGAGAATTTTATGTGGAAAAATTAAAAAATCCACCAATTAGAACCCAATTCGAACTGGATGTTAAAAATAGGTTTGAAGCTTTAGAGCTTCCTGACGAGGACCACGAGGATATTGACAAGTTATGGGTAGAGATCAGGGATAATATTAAAGCAGTCGGTAACTCGTGTCGAGGAAAAAAGGAAAATAAGAATAACAAACTGTAGTTTGATGAAGATTGCTTAAACATGTGAGAAAAAAGAAAAGCCGCCAAATTAAATGCCCTAAATAATCCTAACGAAGGCAATCTGGAATACTTTCGAACATCAAAGATTGAAACGACAAAATTGCTCAAAAATAAAAAAAAAGGGAATATCTTAAAAGTAAAATGGGAGGTGTGTAATAATAATTGATGATTGATTAATAATTGATGGTGTCGGCATCAAACCTTCCGGTTCGCTAAGCCTTTTATTATTTATTATTTATTATCTATTGACATTTACGTTATTTTGAATTTTAATATAGATATAAATTAAAATAAATAATTACAAAACAGTATACAACAAAGTTTATATTTGCTACAACAAGACATGGTAGTCCAAGAACAACAATGCCTCTTTTGTGAATTATATTTTGCTGCGATCTTTGTTTCTGGTCAGCCATAATCTTTATATGGTATAAATGTAAGCTGAATAAAATACCTCATATTTAATAATGTTGATAATGCTGGGAATAATATAGTGGCAGCCATCTTTAATTTTTGTAGAAATTGTAATTTAATTTTTTCTATCCCAATCATTCTAAGTTTGCTATCTGGATGGTTTATAACATCTAATTCCAAGCCAAACGCGCAGCTACAGATAACATCTGCTGTGAAACGACTCATTAGTTCTTTTATATCAATTTTTGAATCAGATTTTGATAACAAAAGGGAGCTGAAGCTCTGTGAACAAAAGAATAATTATTGAAAAGCCTATTTTGGATATTTAGAATGAAACAAAATGACACATTTTATTTTAATAATAATAATTTTACTGTTTTTTAATCAAATATAGTTACATCTTCTAATTGATTTAAATTGAAATTTATAGAAAGTTGTTAATTGTAATTATTTCCTGAATCTGAATGGTGAAACTTCATATTGAAACCAAATCACTCCAATATTACAATAGTTACTTCAATACGTGGGGGCTTTCGGGCTTAAGTCCCCTCCCCCAAAATGGTAAAATATAACTATATTTTACAGAAAATAATATTAAAAACTATACTTTAAATATTTTTGTTCGTGTAATTACATTTAATAGGACTTCAAGTACCACTTAAACACCATTTCATATAGATATTTAATTTCTTTCTTTTTTTTCTAATTAATTATCGTTATATGTATATGAAAAAAAATCTTTCGGGCTGAAGTCCCCTCCGAAGTTAAATCCTGAATCCGCTAGTGCTTCAATATTGTAATAATTACTTCTAATAATTCTTCAGTAAAACTCTCATGACCTAATTTGCAATTTTGTTGTTGTTATAATTTTCAGAAACATATAGATTGAATGTATAAAACATTTTATAATAAATATATTAAACAAACCAAAATAACTAAACATATATAGGCTTGATAGGCCAGCCTTCTCCACAAAGGTTATTTTGTTGAAAATTCAATATTTACATTATAATAAATTATAGATAACATTATTGTATGAATGAATGAAAAAATAATGTTATTCCACTCCCCTAAGAATATTTTTTTTATTTTTTCCCTACGCCTGCTTGATCAGTCATGCGTGCTCTAGCAGTCCAATATAATTTTCTCTGCTAGCATAAGGGCTGTCCATTTCACTAAATGGCTTGTAATTCAGGGAACATGTATCAAGATGTTTTCCTGTCATAATATCCAAGGAACACAGAGGGCATGTCGGGCTATCATTTATACCGATGCGGTGGAGGTGCTTCTGAAGGAAATCATGCCCTGTAAGCATTCTGAAGTATGGCTTGCTCTCGTGAGAGCTCTCTCGGGATCCGGCCACTTTCTTCCAGAAATCCACTCCATCGCTTCCCCCTCCTCAATTATTTACCCATATTTCTCCTTCAGTGACCTTTGGAGGGTCTGTTTTATTATTCCTTTCGTTGAATACATGCCCAGAAGAATATCTGGTTGGATCATTCCAGAACCTATTCTGGCCAGTTTGTCAGCTTCATCATTTCCGTGGAGCCCGCAATAACCTGGTGTCCACTGGAAAGCGACTTCTGTCCCATTTTTCTTTAATCGGTCCAAATACAGATGGTATTGAAGGACATATTATATCCATTTTGGAGAGACAAAATGGCTGCCTGTGAGTCAACAAAGAATGCAACGTTCTTGTCTTTCCGTTCAGCCAATCTCTCACGGCCTAAGAGAATGGTTTTCACATCCCCTTCAAAGTTTGTGGCTACCATTCCGACCGAAGCGACAAGTTAAAACTCCTTTTAATAAACTCCAGTGTAGTAGATAGCCCCTAGTATTTACTCCTTCATGTGACATTGTGTGAGGGAATGAGAAGAAATATATAGGAATATGAAGTGACACTATGAATTGTGCAGTGAGCAAATTATTCATTAAAAAGTCTCATCGCTAAACAATCGATAAGGCTGGAATAGGACCGGGCAGTCAGCAACAGCTGGAGAAGGAGGCTGGGGAGAAGAGAGCTCACTCTAGGCCGGGACAGGAAGAAATGAGAAGAGAAGCCTACTACACTGAAGACTAAAAATATCAAGCCTTTACTCAGTCACATATTTCATTCATAAAGGCTCTTACTGTTTCTTGTCACTCAGTATCACAAAAAGTATTAGATTCCCGAATTGCCAAGGACAGTTAAACATCCTCAAAAATCTATATCCGGCGCAGAGGTTTTATTTTAATATTCACAAGTGTAAATAACCTGGGCCCCCTATAAAACGGAAGTAATATTCACAATTAACTCTTAATAGGTTATTTACACCAGCTCCGGTATATTTGCTGTTTCTATCCTGTTGCTATGTTTCCAGAGCAGAACCGTCAATGTATACATTCTGTATACATGGAGCCATTCTGTTTCTGTGAATTGATTTCTAATGGTTTCTAGGGTTAATTATTATAGACTTTAGTTAGTAAATTGGTGTTGAATCCTTAGAAACATTCTGAAGAAGATCACAGTGCACAACAAATTAGCTGGTGTATGAAACTTGTGTCAATGTCGGGAGAGGCTTCCTTTCAGCTAGTTCTAGCCCTTTTCTTTAGATAAAACCTTCCACTGCTTTAATAAAATTGATTTGTGTTTTAAGGTGTTCAGGTTATAAGGTGTACATAGGTCATGGGTACTCCAGTAGCTGATCTTAATTTAATACGTTTTAGCCTTTCATTGAGCGTAATGGCCAGTTGCTCCCGGTGTGTCCCAAGAGGTACTACGCCTGTATGTAATTCCAGCGCAGATATTGGAGTTGATTTACTCGCCCCTCCCCCTGTCACGAGTCTGAGGGCCTGATTCTGAATTATGTCGAGCTTGTGTAATATCGCGTCCGAAGCAGTGATAACAAGTTCTGCTCCATATTCAATAACAGAGCGGGCATATGTCTTGTAGGCAAGAGCCATAACATCCCCCGTTTCTCCCCTTTTTGAGCCACCTAACCTCTGTATTAACGAAAGCCGTGTTGAAGCCTGTTCTTCCAAGAGTTTGTGTTGGATGTTTATTCCAAGAGAGTCTTTTATCCAGTTTCACTCCAAGATATGTAGTTTATTGTGTGCGTTTAAGCTCCTCATTACCATGGTTCAAAATTATCTCGTGTGATTTGGTAGAAAGGGTAAAAAGTGGGAATTCCGTCTTTTCGGAATTAACGATCATCTCGTTTTCATTGGCCCACTTTTCTAGTAATTTCAGTACTTGTTGCGTGTGCTTTCCTAGTCCTTTAAAGTCACTACTTGTTGCTCAAATGACGAGGTCATCTGGATACAGCAGAGCATTTGTAACCGGAATAGTTTCAGTGAGTTGCGTGATGGTAAACAGGAAGGGACTCAGCACCAAACTTTGTGGCAGGCCTTGTTTTATCGAGGCAATTTCTTTATATCGCACCCTTATTAGCCTTTGATGTAAGAAAGAATATATAGTCTTGAGCAGATATCCTGTGGCTCCAACAAGCTTACTCATCAGCTTGTTTCTCCAAACTCTGTCATATGCCGTCTTAAAATCTACGAATATTGCCACGGTGCTCTGTTTTCTTTGGAAGCCGTTTTTTATTTCTTGTGTTAGAAGTGCTACTTGTTTAATAGTGTTTCGATTTTTCTTGAAGCCAGCTTGGTTAGAAAATATTAGATCATATTTTTCTATGTATTTCTGATTCTTTCTGCAACGATTCTCTCGTAAAACTTGGAGAAAGTGCTTGTTAATGCAATGGGTCTGAAATTTTCTGGTATATCTCTTTTTTTTTCTTCTCTTCAAGATTGGTATCACTTCTACTTTCCTCTATTCACATGGAATATGTGTTTTCCAAACAGTGTTTAAAAATGTTAGAACTGTTTCTTTGGCCATATTTCCCAAGTTTATAAGAAATTCCGGCATTATGTCATCTGATCCTGAGGTTTTGCCTTTCTTAGATTTAATAGAAGTCATTTAGTTCTTGCGTTTGGATATCTTCCCAGAACAGTCTTCTTCATATAATCTTCTTCACTTACTGCACAACAATGTGTGGAGTTTGTGGCTGGATTCCTTATTTTGGTTTGTAATTACTTACTTTTGAGTATATTGTGCCGGATGCGAATATATTGTGCAGGATTTGAATTAAGGAAATCTTTAAATATTCTGCCCACAGTATCAGTGCTATCCCCATGTAGTGGAAGGGGCATTCAGGTCTCCATATAGTATACTCTCTCCATTCCAGTTCGCTTGCCATGCCACAAATTTGCTTCCAGAGCCTCGGATTTATCATTTGCATCTTGCTGTCTCCTAATTTTCATATCCATAACGATGGATGCCTTAACAGCTAGCATTTAATACCAGCATGCAGCAGTATTAATAGCATCGATACCAGATGCAACTTGTCTTGCTCTTGGGAGGAAATATGTTTGGTATCTGTGAATTCGGTGCATATCAGGTTTGTCAGTTGCCGCTCCTGCTTCGCCGATCGCACATTAGTATACATCACGTTCTGTCACTATACGTTTCAATTCGGTGAATTTATCTATGGTTAAACCGCCTGCATTCCAAAAGATAGCTTTGAGCCTTCCCTAAGTTTTTAGAAAGCTTGAGAGCATTTGGCCGTTTTTTATAGGGCGTAGCCATGTTACTTTGTATAATGGGCTGAGTTGGCGATAAATGTGATCATTTACTTACCGGGTTACGAGTTATCCAGGGGGCACGTGGACAAACTGTCCGGACGCGATCACTTCACCCTCTAAGTAGTTTTTATTTTATAAAAATGAAACTATCTATTTTATGCTTTTAAAAAATATAAGAACAATAATAACAGAATAATAACAGCGTTAAAAATGTATGGGTATTACTCTGGTTTAAAATAATAAAAAATACAAACTAAATAAGTGCTTATTGTTTTTGCATCTATCACTAGTTTTCATTGTTAACAATTATCTGTCTTAGAATATTGCATAAAATAAGAGACTATTCCTATATGAAAATAAAATTTACCTCAGCACAACTGATAAAAAGAGGAAACATAGCTTTCAATTTCCCACTAGTAAATGTGGGAGTAAGTTTCATTCTTAAATCTCTCCACTTTTCACCTTGAAGATAGAATAAATGATGATTTAATACATCTTTTTCAGATCTGCAAACATCGAAATTTTTTAAATACCACTGTTTCAAAGTTAATGTTTACATTTTCCGCCAAGTGATAAGGAGTACAGATTACAGTAATAGAGTCAAGAGAAAACAGAGATTATTACATTTTAAGAATGCGCCTGTCTCTGAAGTGTGAAAACTCTTTTGTTAAAATCAGCTGAATGGTTTCTGGGTCTCTGACTATTAGCATTGGACTCCTTAGAAAAAAAATCCCGAACATCGGATGTGGAGCAAATCTGTGATACATCTAGAAACAAATTGCTAAAGTCAATTTTTCAAAATTGTTTATTTAAAGAAATTGTTAAATATTGTGAACCTTATCAATAGTGTAGCCTCTATATTCTTTTAATTTCACTAGGTTCGGATGACTACCAAAAGGGAATTTGGCCGGATGAAATGGGATGCCCTTCTCCTTCCAGTGGGTATAGACCGACACCCAATGTTTATAAAAGAGCCATAACAAGCCAGCAATAATAGTCACGCCAAACAGCATTTTGTACCTAAAAAAAAAATTGAATTAACAACAGTTTATACAGAAACAAATTATTTCAACAGTCACACTGCTAGGACATGAGAACAATTTTATTCGAAATTATGGGACATGAGCTTCTCTGGTCAACCTTGGCCTGGGGCTAATTATGATCTCACAAAATGACACTTGGGATTTATTCTCAATGTTCTCAACTCGTCTTTGAGTTCGCTGTTAGAATTGGAAGAGAGGCCTGCCTCTCTAGTCGCTCACAGATAACATTATATGCATTTATTAATTTCTTTTTCTTATAACTTTTCACTTATTATTTGTGAATGATACTATAAGTATCTATATTCATTTTTTATAAACTATAGAGATATATTTATTTTATTTCGATTTATTAATTTTTTTTCTCTTTAATAGTTGCTTTCTTTTGATTCCTTTTATTACGTTTTATTTTATATTTCTATAGGGGATCCTATAAATTTAAATAGCCCAAAGGTTAAACGAAAACGACCTCGGGGTCGTCTTAAATTTGAAGCAGAAAATACGGATGGTGCTATCCCAATTAGCCCATCGGTCTTAATAATAGAAAGATGAACAAAATTTTCAAAAATTATCCCCGTTCTTAGTAAATAAGTTTCTTTCAGGTTTAGTGGGAAACTTAAAAAATGTGAAAAAGATAAGAAATGGTACTACTTATTAAAACCAAAAACAGAAAACAATCAGAAGGATTATTGAAATGTAAACATTTTGGTGGCCAATTTCCGGTTCAGCCTCCCCTTCCCCCACAAAACCTTAAATTACAGTAAAGGAGTAATTCGATGTTACGACCTCCAATTCCTAGAGATAGACGAAAAAAATGAATTATCTCGAGGGTTAAAGGATAAATTACGCATTAAAATTTTTAAAAAATGGAAATGAGATATTAGCAAATTCTTACATCATGACCTGTATAAGATTCTCTACACCGAGAATTCCGGAAACAATAAAGATGGGACTCCATACGAGCCCAGCCCGCTGTAGTAATTTTGCCCAAAATCACAAATCATTACATCGTCGATGTCCGATTTTTATATTACAAAAAGAAATAAAACCATAAATAAAATATCTTTAAATGAAGAAAAAAATGTATAAAAAACATTATCCAACCCAGTTTGCAAGACCTATTGCTGAAATTACAAAACAAAATCCTAACACTATCGAAAAGTTGAATGAATCGAATGATATCGGCATTCAAAAAAATTCATCGTTTAATTTTGGAGAAAACATATATAATACCACTTAAACAGCTAACACTATAAATACCCAAACATCAACCAATCCTACCCACTCTCTATCCCCTCCCCAACACAACTCTGGTCCCACCTCCGGATCCTCCCCACCTCCCATCACCCAGCCTCCCCCACCAGCCACCTCCAGATCCAGTTCACCATCGTACATAACAAAAAACACGGCAATCGTAATAATCTCTTTTACCCACCATGGGAAAAAATCCTGGAAAACTTATCTTAAAAACCTGTACCCCATCCTTAATTCTATTCACATAATCCCAGATCACCAATTTGGAGGAAATTATCGGAGACTACCAATGCGGATTTAGACGGAATCGTTCGACTATTGATCAAATATTGTTCACCAGCTGTATATCGATTTCAAAAAGGCTTACGATTCTATTGACCGCCAGAAACTGTATAATATTCTAATCGAGCAAAGGATTCCAAAAAAAAACTAGTAAATCTAGTCAGGATGTGCTTGACGAAGACACCTTTCGCCTGTCCTGTTCAATTTGGCATTAGAACATGCCGTTAGGGAGGTAATGCGTACCGAGAAAGGGTTGGACCTGGGCGGGACAACATCCGTGCTGGGCTATGCTGATGATCTGGCACTGTTAAGCGAAAACGTGGAAACTATAAAACTAAATACGACAGCGTTAATGAAAGCCGGTAAAGAACTATGACTCGAAATAAACGTGAATAAAACAAAATATATGTTTAGCTGCAAAAATGGCGATACTACTGGTGATATCGATATAAATGGTAATATGTTTGAACAGGTATATAAATTTAGGTATCTAGGTTCTACGATAACAAGAAAAAACGGAATTGAAGAAGAGATTAAGGCAGACTGAAGGCGGGAAATGCTTGTTATTTTTCTGTGACAAAACTACTTAGTTCGCGCCTCTTGTCCCGAAACTTAAAAATTAGAATCTATAAAACAATTATCTTGCCTACAGTTCTTTATGGATGCGGAACTTGACCGCATACATTTAGGGATGAGCAGCGTCTTAAGGTTTTTGAAAATAAAGTATTGTGTAGAATATTCGTACCGTAGAATATTCGCCGCGATGAGATTACCTCAATTATATTACCCGGAACTGTATCAAATGGGCTTGTAAAGTCGTTGGACTTAGTAACGAGAGAATTCCTAAAAGGTTAATATTTGCTGTGCCGAATGGTAAGCGTCCGAGGGGTAGACCGAAGCGAAGGTGGGAAGATTGCTTTAAAACCGATCTGAAGGGACTGGGTTTGGACGGCGAACGGTGGAGGGAGGTGTGTAATAAGCGATTGGTGGTTATAACCCGAAGGTTCGATGCCGTCGAACCTTTGGGTTCGCTATGCCTTTTATTATTATTATTATTATTGGAATAACGCCCAACACTGCCCAATATCATCGCGTATCTAGGCATGAAATAATCAGTATTGCTTGGTTCTAGACCTCTCTGTTGGATTAACTTAACGTCAATGATCGAATTCTATAAATCAGGTTAAAAAGATCTTCGAAACTTCAACTAAGCTATGTTATCTAATTATTATTAACTGGATTGATTAATAAAATCAATTAAATAATTATGTATTAGGTTTTTTAAGTACGTTTTGAAAATAAACTCTGGCTTTAATTGTAAAAATATATAAGTTAATTCAATTAATCTAATGGATGAAGTAACCAGATTCAATCAAAATTTTACAATTTTTCTTGACAAACATCGGCTTACAATTGGATATACAGTTGTTATATCAAAAGAGTATTAATATTTACATGTTAATCAATAGAAAACTTTCACTATCTATTTTGAAATAACGAAAAAATGCGAACAAATGTGTTATTAAAACCAAGATGTTACAAACAGATAAAGGCAAGATAATGTTGAACTCACGGCAGTTGAAGTAAGACAATCCTTCTTGACGTCGCTGTCAGGAGTGATGCGTCCTCCCGGAAAGTCTGGCTTATAAACGTTGGAAAATATCGATACATCGAAAGAATTCAGACATATCGAAATTAAATTAATTTTGAAAACCAAATATAAAAAATATCAATATTTCTAACTGTCATTGATATTTTAACCTTGTGGAATAGACAAGCTAGGAATAATGGATAAAAGAGCCTTAGGAACTTTATTTTTCAACTAATACTGCTCCTTCATACTAACTTATAGCTTCAATCATTGGTACAAAAATGATCACATATCGATTGATGTACTATGCCATATATAAAATTTACTCATTTATCCATCATTTGCTACGATTTTTAACGTCTCTTGATACCATTAAAGTCGCATGACTTTAAAGTTTTTGCGTTTTTAACTTTAAAGTTGAACTCCCCAAAAAACGTTTCGGAAGATTATATCACATATAAAAATTATGAGTAAAAAATCAAGGTAAGTATTGTAAAATGAACAACAGATTATGGTAAAAAAATTATTATAATTTATTATATGTGTTTTTTTTTATAGAACCCTTTTTAATCTCACAGTCTTTTATTACAATTTCAAAACATTATTATTTTCAACGGTTTGGCTCCAAAGCCATTTTCAAAAACTCTTTTTCTTTAAAAAATCAAAACATTTGTCACATTATTATATATTACTAAACATTTTTTTTAATCTAAAGTATATCCGTTCATCTAAGAGATACAGACAGCTCAGTGAAGTTGAAGTGAGAGAAAAGAAATTTAAGAATCAAGGTTTGATAAAATGAGAAAAAGGGAAGAATATTTGTGGATTTTCAGAAGAAAAATAAAACAAAGCATTCTATATGTGATAAAACAATTGCTACCATAGGATAGTATTCTATAAAAGGATATATTTTATATAAACAATTTTTGCTTTCACTTATATATATATATATATATATATATATATATATATATATATATATATATATATATATATATATATATATATATATATATATATGTGTGTAATGTAAGGTAGCGTAAGTTGGGTTTTCAACGGAAATACACGTTTTGGGGTACCCTGATTTCAGATAACCAAGTCCAGAAAAATGGTATATGTGTCTCTGTGCCTGTATGTGTATGTAAGCAGTTAACTCGAAAACGAAATGTCGCACGAAACTGACATTACGTATTTAAGATAGGTATATGCCTTACATGTGTTAGCAACTTTTTCTTGAAAATGGCTAATCGGAAGTACCACTTTATATCAACGCTAAAATACATTTTTACAATCTTCTCAAAAACGACTTTAACGATATTGATTAAACTCGGTGTATCATTGTATAATTAAATGGTCTTTAATATCAATCAGGTTTTATCCCCATTGATGTCACTTTACAGTGCTTAAATGCCCAATGTACGTCTTCCTCTGAAGTACATTTAATATGGTTTATTTTAAATAATTAATCATCCCACACTATTAAAAGTTACGAAAAATGCTAAATATAACATGTAATGTTGATAAAAGAAATATACTCAATTGTTATAAATTGAAAATTATTATTGCCAAATAACTAAAAATAAATAAACAACTTCCCAGAAAAAAGAAGCTAAATATAACTTTTGAAAGAATTTGATTATTGAATAAAGGAGAAAAAAAATAAAAATGCTTATCCAGGTCGAAAAACAATCTCTGGAAATACTAGTCAGAAGATATACGTATAATATCTTTTTGAAAAGCGGGGAGTTTTAGAGAAAAAATGTCTAACATCGAAAGTTATATAAGGTAACGGGGAGTGGCAAAAACTAATAAATAATAATATTTGAAAACTAATAATATTTAACGTAAATCACATGTTATCAACGAAATGACATGAAATTTACTAACTAAATGTAACCTTTTAAAATATTTTCAAGTTTGAAAAAAATATTTAAAATCCACCTAATCAAGGTAATAACTGTTTAAAAAAACTTTCATTGTATTTGTGTGAAAGAGGAAGTAACATATAAAATCATTTCATGGATGTATAAAGTATATGTTCATAACCTTAAATACATTTACTGTAGTTTAATAATTCTAGATATGATATTATATTTAAATAATTAGGTATCAACATCCATTTATTCCGAAAAATCTTTATGCAACCTTTTAGAAAATTAAATTAGTAAATAGTTTGATGAAATTTCCTTTTTTGATATTCCAAAAGTATCCACTTTTATTTCATTGTAGTCGTGTGAAAAAAGAAGTGAAATATAAAAATATTTTATACGAACGTTTATAACCTTACATATATTTACTGTGGTTTAATAATTCTCACTAGCGGATCCAGGATTTATTTTTGGGGGGGGGGCTTCAGCCCGAAAGGTTTTTTTTTCATAAAAATAACGATAATTACTTTGGAAAAAAAGAAAGAAACTAACTATCTGTATGAAATGGTGTTTAAGTTATTCCTAAAGCCCTTTTAAATGTAATTACACGAATAATAATACTTTAAGAGATACTTTTTTAATATTTTTTTCGATAAAACATGGTTATATTTTACCATTTTGGGGGGAGGGGCTTCAGCCCGAAAGCCCCCCTCCGTAGATCCGCCCGTGATAATTCTAGATCTGATATTATATTTAAATATTGAGGTACATATCGTCCGTTTTTCCGAAAAATCACCATCTAACCTTTTAGAAAATTAAATTAGTGAATAGTTTGATAAAATTTCCTTTTGTGATATTCCAACAGTATCCAATTACAATTAGCGTGACAACGTTTAATAACTAATAGTCGTACAATCCATAATCAACGGGTCCTGCAATCCATAATCAAAGCATGGTAGAATCCATAATCAACCGATGATATAATAAATAGAACTTTTGTTATTTTAATATTATTTATGATTTGTTAGTTGTAATTTTTTAGCTTTAGCTCAGATAAAAATGCAATTCAAAAATTTTATAATACCCTAACATGGCCAGAAATAATTTCTATTTAAAGTTGAGCGGTAAGTGAAAGTTTTGTGTTGCGCGCACCAGATTTGCTTAGTTATATTGTGACTAATGTTTTGTTTTTTAAATAAAACGTTCCCTCCACCGTCGTTCACCTGAGGCCTAGTCAAATGGAGACTCTTCCATCAAATCCTTTCCGATCAAATTGACCTCAGAATAACTCTGAAAACCCCAAAAAGATTGACTTTGTCATATTCAATTGTCTGAACTTAAAAGTACTGAATTTGTCACCAGGATTAATCATTTTATGTAATTATTTCATCCTTAAATTAAATTTTCAAAGCTATGAAGGCCGAGTGTTGCATTAGCCAAGGTACTGAATGCGACCTTCAAATCTCTCGGATACCCATTGTTGCATTGTTCTATTTTGTGAATAATATCATCAGGATGGATAAACGATATTGCTTCTCATTTTTGAAAAGACAAGTTTGGAGGAAGTAGGATTTTTTGAAGAAATTGTGTATTTATGTTGGATGATGCGGTCTTTAGAGACAAGAAGGTTTCTTAAGAAGGTTTTTGGTTTTTCCAATAGAAGAGGATTTACAATTGGGAATCTAGTAAGGAATGCGGTAACCATTTGAGCGATGTCGGAAAGCGATGGGGTCCTTTAAGCGGGTGAAGGTGTTAGAAAGTTTTTAAGGGTTACTCTTGGGTCGGAGATAGATAAGCATAAAGACTTGTGAATTTTATCAAAGCAGAAAGGCGTTCAAGGTAGAGATTTGTATAAGGTCATTGTTGGAAGTCTTGCCTGCATGAAACTTGTTCCATGCAGGCAAGTCTTCCGACAATGACACATCCAACAGATATCAGGTTGCAATAACTTCTCCTACACTATCAGAAAACCAATTAACTACTGCAAAACCTGCCTCTCTTCCTCCTTGCTAGACCTTAAAATATATATATATATATATATATATATATATATATATATATATATAATATTAAGGTTATATCCCTTCCTTCTCTGACAAGTCTTTATGTTCCTTCATCCCCGGCCTGCGAATGACTTTTAAAAACTACCACAAACTGTCCAACATCTATACCCGCTTAAGACCCCATCCCTCTCCAACATTGCTCAAATGTCGTTTACCGCGTTCCTTGCTCCACCTCCGATGGTAATTCCTCTCATATTGGAGAAACCAAAAATCTTCTTAAAGACCGCATCACCCTCCATGATTATTCGATTTCATCAAAAAAAACCTCCTGACTCCAAACTTGTCGAACACGATCGGATTGAGGATACTCAAACCACACATTCGACTTTGACAATACCTTCATACTTGCCACAGACCACAATCATGACAAAAGACTATTTATAGAGAGTTTTCATTCAATTAGAATGCAAATCAGGTAATAAAAAATCAACAAACAAAACCTATCCTCCTCCGCTAATCAGAAATCCTCAACCTATTATAATAACAATAAACTACGTTTCCCACAACCTTAGAAGTTTCTTCTACATTTCTACCTTTTTATTTTATTTTAATATGCATGCAAATGTATATTTACGTACAGTGTTATGAAAAAAATATTCGAAAAAAACAAATATTTATAAAAATTCCAAAGGTTTCAATTTTAAAGTGGTCTTGTTAATTGTAAACTGATTTTATTTAGCGAAAATTGTAGATGTAATATATATTTAAATTGGCATTATTTTCAATTAACAAGCCAAGAGACAAATCTATTATGTTAATGTTATTTTCAGAGGCTAAATATTGTTACCTTATTTTTCAAATTTGACTACTTTGCTATCCATTTCAGTTTTTACTATCACTTACTAACACTTACCTGTATATGTAATGCATAGTAAGGAAAAGTATTGTGATCGTGAAAATTTTTGTCGGAATAATCAAGTCTCGCAAAATGGTGTGTGTGTGCGTGCGTGAGTGAGTGAGTGCGTACGTGCGTGTGCGAGTGCGTGTGTGCGTGCGTGAGTGACTGTGTGCGTGTGTGCGTGCATATGTAGGAACAGCCTAGCTCAAAAATAAAAAGTCGTAACAAAATGATATTGCGCATTTAAGGT